ATGACAAATTGAACAAAAATCATTAGTTTTGCCTGTCGTACCTGGCCTTAACTAATAATCTTAACAGGTACATTAACAATGCATTGAGGGTAAAGTTAGCACTTTAGATAGCTTTACTGAACAGAAATGATACAGAACCACCAGTACTTGCCTCACCTGCCAGTAAATGATCATGAGCAAACAATCTGCTAAAAACAGAAGGAAAACAGAGAGCGCCAATCTCTTCCAGACTTAACGAAGTCACTGAAATTGAAGAACAAGCTGCGAATAAATGCAAGAATATGTATGAAATACATCCCTTGGGGACAAAAATCAATTTCGTTAAATATTTATTGTCTTAATTAACAGCAGAGGTGTTGGAATGATTTATTTGTAACGTCCGGGCAAATAGGCGTGATTGCGATAGGTGCAAAAACAGGTTTCCTGCGAGAAAAATTAAACAGCTGCTCATTTGGAAAGGTTATCATGTATTATTTTACTTATGTTGGCGTAACAAATAAAATAGCACTCTTGAACTTTTGCCAACTTGGGTGATACCGATATTCTGGTCTGGCCCAAGGACTATTTGTTAAACACAGAATTAATGATTCATTAATCTTCCAGCACTGATTAGTGCGGCCACTTAGGAAACACGGTGGGCTGAGATGCTGTTGCTACTCCGATCAGTTGAGCGTCCCTATTATATTATTGGACGTGCGCGAGCACACCTGAAAACCTCAAATGGCACAGATACGGAGCGATTGGCTGCCACTACGGAAAGCCTGGGTTCAAATCCAGGGAAAGCGAGTCGCCTGTGGGTAAACCGGATTCTAAACTGTCGTGAGTTCATGATAATTATTATTTCCTACATTTGATATTCAAGACATTCTTATCGTGCAAGGCTATCCTGATGGTGCGGTGTTTCACAGACAAGCTGCAGTGTTTGGCAATGTTACTGGTTGTGATCCCAATTCAGTCATTGGCAGCAATTTTTTTTCAAGTTTGGACCGTGACACCTGCACACATGGCCCACTACCTTTATCAAATAACATCGTAAAGTCCTCTGAGAATCAGACAGTGCAGATGTGTTGCTTAGTACCCCACAATATAATCCAGGGTGGCCACTGACTTCAAAAATTGCACTTAACCATTTTTCTTTTTGGTTTCTCATTTGCAATGAAGCATCATATTGCAATGACGTGGTGCGCTGCAATTTCCAGCGTAGAGGCCCCCTCCGTACGAGTCCGAGAGAACAGGATTTCCACAAAGTTGATGCATTACCGAGCAAAGAGGGCAGGGAATCTGAATAAATCTCACCGCGGGCCATCTGTCACTGAACCCGTCTTCCATCATCGTGGCCCGGCCACGAGGCTGTGTGAATGTCACGATTCAAGTTGAGTCCGGCGAGTTTCTCCCCCCCCCCCCCATCCCTCAGGTCCTTTTTTTTCTCTAAAAAAAGTGAAAGTGAACGTAAAAACATCTCGCTGTCTTTTGAACTCTCTTGAAACTGAGTCACTGGATATTGCGGTATTTGATCATTCGGTGGTTCCTCCCCGACTCAATCAAAACCTTCTGTCTCCAGACTCTCGAATCATCCAATCGTCAGATCATCTCCCTATTCTGCCCTCCTCTTTTTAAATCCTTTATATTAAGTTCGCTTGCTTGCGTGCTTGCGTGCTTGCTTGCTTGCTTACGACCGTGCAAACCTTTCGGTCGTTTTTTAACCCACTTCCCGTGATCCAATCGAGCTGACATTTTGCACACAGACTCGTTGTGCGAGACATTTAATGTTCGTGAAAAAAAAATTCAAAAATTTTACACTGTTTAGGGAAAACAAATTAAATATTTAATTACCAATTGCTTTATGGTGGCAGACAATCATCTGACCCATAGGTGGCAGCCATCTCAAGCCAGAGGACGAGAGGACTCTAGCCGCCACGCATATAAAGGATTTATAGTGAAAAACTTTGTTTTTACGGGTTATACTTATTGTTCATTTATCTACATCCATCTCTCATCTCCTTCTGTCTCTTCGCTCCTATCTCCTCAAGTATGGATGCATTCTCGGTGGCTATCCCTCTAATCCGATGTTTCTGAAACGTCTATGGCCCGCGGGGACCACCTGACCGATGTAAACATTTCCACGGACCACCCAGCCAGCCCCCCATAACGCATTCAACTTATCTCTCTAAATACCAGTTATACAAAATAATTAATATTACTAGAATATATATATTTTTTTATTTTAATCGGTGGCATATAGATCTTAGAGTTAGGATATATTCATCTGGGTAGTTTATGTAACTTTATATATATATATAAATTTCGTGAGTAAAATATTAATTAATGTCCAAAACAAAAGAGAAAAACTTTGTCATTATTTCTGGATCAACCTCCATTTGCATCCCCGCCCCGTGGACCACCTGGAGGACTGACACAGACCACTGTTGGTCCAGGGACCACAATTTGAGTGCCACGGTGGTGAGATGTTAACTACCTCGCCTGGTATACAGAAGGTCATCGGTTCGACGCTGACGCCTGTATATATGGAGTTTGTGTGTTCTCCCTGTGGTCACGTGGATTGTTCTCCGGCTCCTCCGGATTTTCCCTCCACATTTAGAATAAACATTCGTTTGGTTACATTATCCCCCTAATCCCCTTCTTCCCTTTTTTCCCCCTCTCCTGCAAATCTTCTGCTCCTGATATTTGCCCCTGATGGTGGTGGTTAGGAGGGCAGTGAGGCCTCAAGTGTATATAGTAGGTGCCCTACTTGAGGGCGTCACTCCGAACTGTGGTTCCCTCTTGTATGGCTGCGTTGTGTTTTTGAATTAAAAAAAGACATTATCTTTTGACGAAATCAAAATCTTTATTTATACTGGAGAAATCCGATGAGCTATTAATGTCTTTTTCACAGATGTCCAGTAGTAAAATCACCTGGGGTTCACCGAATATCATCAAATCTCAGAAGCAGAGCTGGATTGAGCCTGGAGAGTGCTTGCTTCAATGGGTTGACCACCAAGTATTCACAGCTCTTATGGGCCACTGCTGTGATACACTGTGGGCAGCAAAGGGTAGTGCTGCCACGTTTATGCGCCCGCCTTCACCAACGCAGACTGAGCGTGTGAAGGTGACAACAACCCCCAGGATCAGAATGGTGTTGGGAGACCATCATCCAGCAGTGGATTGACAAGGAGGCTGCTGCATGTAACTGAGGCCGTTGAGGCAGGAAAATCTATTTTTAAATCCTTTATATTAAGTTTGCTTGCTTGCTTGCTTACGACCGTGTAAATCTTGCAGTCGTTTTTTAACCCACTTCCCGTGATCCAATCGAGCTGACATTTTCCACACAGACTCGTTGTGCGTGACAATTAATGTTCGTGAAATTTTTTTCCCAAAATTTTACACTTTTTAGGACAAAAATATTATATTTAATTACCAATTGCTGAATGCTGCCATGCAATCATCTGACCCATAGGTGGCAGCCATCTCAAGCCAGAGGACGAGAGGACTCTAGCCGCCACGCATATAAAGGATTTATAGTGAAAAACTTTGTTTTTACGGGTTATACTTGTTCAAAGGAGACCTGGATGCTTACTTTGGTGGCATTTAAAATATATATATCTTATCCGGCAACATCAACAGATGTAAATAAAAATAAAAACTCTTGATGGGCTCCCACACAATGAACACAAGCGGCAATAAAACACTTGAGACAAATAGCTGATGTGAATCCAGTTGAAGAGCTTCTGTGCGCCCGGCATTGGGCAGCTTGGCTCTACGGTGTGTGCTTGCGAGACACCTTGCATTGAGCGCAGCAATCTCCTCTGCCGCGTGCGGTGACCTGCTGCGTCGTTTGCCACTATTCTGGTGGGTTTTTTTTGTTGTTCAGACCGATGCAAGTCTGACACCTAGTGGAATGACCGCGTGGTTTTATTCAAACACCGCGTAGGTTTTCGCAGCTGTGCTATACCGTAGAGCTTCTCCGATGGTTTATTTTTTTTTGGGGGGGGGGGGGGATACGTGGTTCCAACCCAAATACAGATTGGAGAAAAAAATTATATTGGCAGTTTGCATGTCGCGTGGATTATTTTCCGGGTCCACCGGTTTTCCCTCCACATTTAGAAACGTGGTTTTAGAGTATTTGGCTGCTACAAATTTCCACTTGATAAGCCACTTTGTTGAGCAATAATTTGTGACAGCCATGTCGCTTCTGAAAAAGAGCTGTGGAGCTCAGTGGGCCTTACCTGGTCAAAATAAAAAAAAGTTGAAATAGCTTATAGAGATGCATGACCCAATGTGTATTCTGATAGATGTGTATTCTGATAGATGTGTACACGATGGCCCTTTTTGTCATTCCACTGTTAGAAGAGGATCTCCCCATATTATTTGTGGCCAGATCGCTTCTGAAAAATAAGCTAATCTAGATTTGAAGTTTTCGTGACTGCAGGGATCCATACTCTTTGGTTATTTCGGTAAAGTCACGTAGGTATAAAATAAAATAAATTAAATCACGACGTTACGATTGCAACACAAGCAATCATCATCAGGTGGGAAAACCAGGGCAATATTTTTTTTTCTGAAGTGGGAGAGAGATGCCGAGGTAAGAGGTTATATAGGCAAAAAATTATGTTTTTGCTGTGGTTTTCCTAGCTGATGATTGCTTGTGTTGCAATCGAATATACCTACGTGACTTTACCGAAAGAACCAAAAAGAAGCAAATTTTTTAGTCGGCTTTACCTGGTCAAAAAAATATTGTAAAACATTTTTTATCTTTTTCGTAATGTTCTAACCTCTCCTCTTCTTTGCACTTGTATTGTGTGTCGTTGTAATGTTCTGACCCGCCCCTACTGGACATCTGTAAAGAAGAAAAAGAGCTCCATCGCTTATCGGATTCCTCCAGTATAAATATTGATTCTGATTCCGATTGTTACTCGCGAACAGCACCACTTGCCCCCGAAAGTCTGTTGAGGCTACACGGGGGATCTTTGTCTTTGTCGCCCTCTCTGTGTGTGACCGAGCAGCACCAGGACCCGGCGTCGTTCGGCGCCAACTCGCTGCTCGTGAACTCGTCAATCTCCGCGCTGACCATCCGCTACACGCTACTGCCGTACCTCTACACGCTGTTCCACCACGTGCACACGCAGGGTGGCACGGTCGTCAGGCCCCTCCTGCACGAGTGAGATACCGCACCATGCACGCACCCACCCATCGGCCGATTGGCACAGTAAAGGGGCACAGTTGGTGGTGCATCTGCCTGTCATCTCAGTCAGTGAACCCATGGCACCTACTTCGACACTTCACGTGGCCTCAAAATGCACCTGGCCTGGCACAGGCGCCGTGGTGATGTCACCGTCATTTAGTGGAGAATCGTGGGTATTAGTGTGTGTGTGGGAGACTCAGCCTCAAATGAGTACCTGGTTGCTAGTGTCTAAACTTCGCCACAAGGGAGACGAAGGCGGTCGGGCATGGTGCTGGCCACCCACCCCCTCGTGTGCTATGCCGGCCTTCATAGGTGCTCCCTGGCAGCACTTGCCCCTAGTTGGAGACAGTCGCCTTCCAACAACAACGCTCACAACAATTAGTGGAGCGCCAGGCGGCTAAAACACAGAAAGTTGGCAGAGTTGGGAGCACAGTTGGTGCATCTGCCAGTCATCTCAGTTAGGTGGGAAAACCACAGCACCTGGGTTTGTTCTGTGACCTGCCAACCAGTCTTCGACACTTCAAGTGGCCTCAAAGTGCAGTTAGAATGGCACAAACTGCGTGGTGACAGCACTGTCACTTAGTGGTGAACGACGGTTGTTGTTGTGTAAACCATCTACGTTATGAGAATCCTCGTTTTCTCCATGCATGAGTGAATCTGTCACATGCAAAGCTTACGCGTTCCTCAGTATGGGATCATTCTGATTGGATGGCACCAGGGACCTATGGTTTTGATGATACAATCGTTTTTATTAAACTGAATACATTTGCAGATATTCATGGGATTTGTCATGAAGATGTTCATGTCGACAGTATAGCTTCCATGCTCTGGTGATACTCTGCTAAATTGTACAACATAAGGTCTACAATAGACTAATTATCATTGGGTTTTTCGGTCACGTAGGTAAAAAATCCAATGAAATAAATGAAAACAACTATTCATTAATTTTTTACCTACGTGACTTTACCGAAAAAAAAAACAAAGTGTATGAATCCTTGCAGTCGCGAAAGCTTCAAATCTAGGATAATTATCATTTGTTTTTCAAATTACTGTATCGTTATGGAGTTGATTTATATATACATCTTATTTCATGACAAAATACTTTTGAAGTAGAAACAAGAGGCAAGTAAAGTAAAGAATGCATAGCTATATTATACATTATAGTTGCTTGTTCAATGATGAGCATTGGAAGACTAACCGCTAGGCAATGCAAAGAATGAATTGCAGTTGAATGAAAACAATAGTTTGAAGTGATCTCTATTTGTACTCTAAATTCAGCAATGGACAAAAACTCACAAAAATACATTTACAAAGTTATGGGATATTAACATGGCAGTAATTGTCAATTCGTAAACATAAGAGGGGAGTCCTGTATGTTTTGTATTAGATGATTAACAATTAAACCCTCCCGAGTAAGATTAGAAAATTGTGCACACGAAAACAATGCTAATCAGCCATGTGCCGGTTTAATTAGAGCACGTGACTGACAATCAGAAGGTCGCAAGTTAAAATCCAGACTAGGGGCTGACTCAACCGATCAGACTATGGGATTGATAAAATGATTAGCGCTGTGTGGGACTCCAACAGTGATTGTAGTATAGAAATAACTTTTTCCTACCCTAGGAAATGTGGAATTCCTACCACTGGCTCAAAGCCGCCGATAGACATGAGTGGCATGATTTATTGTTGATTCAACATACGCTTGTCTGCTGTCTAACTGCATCCTCCGTTGTATATGTGGAGACACAGAACAAGAGTTCTGAAATGTGTACTCAATTCACTCCGGTGCGTCTTCTCTACATTGTTTCACATTTACCCAGGTTTCCGTCTGACCAGGAGACATGGGGCATTGACAGACAATTCCTCTGGGGTGCCGCTTTCCTCATCACCCCAGTACTTGACCCGGTGAGTGAGTGTTGGTGGTATTCGCCCATTGTATTCATTTGCTTTGTTGTATGCCTGGCAGCGACAAAAATAACAATCTTGATTTCAGTTGACATTGTGGCAAGGAAATAAGTGACGTGAGCCAGTCCTTGGCGTGAATGACCTGACAAGCTTCAATTCCCATGAGGACAGTGATGATGGTGATGATGCGTTTTCATGGTGATGATAACTACCGTGGAAACGCTAACGATGTACTTACATCCATGCTGGTTAATTATACTCGGCGGGTTTTCATCAGGCTCGGAGATGCAATGTAGTTTGTATTTGGAGATAATTATTTCCCAGTGCAGGCCCCCCCCTGTCAATAATGGAAAATGCCCCCTAATCAGAGCACTTGGCAGTGTCTGTAAACAATGGGCAATTCAATACAGTGGGTGGCACACGATTAGCAGAGGGATTGATTCAACACAGTGGGACAACAATTGGACAGCTGTGATGAATAGCATGTGCCTTTAATGGACCAATATGATGCGGGCGTTAATCCTAATTAGCTGATTAATTGTTTATTACGGGGAATATCTTCCAAAATCATGAAAATTGCTGGTTCATTTATCACTTATCATAATAATAAATAAATTATGTGGCTCGCTGTGACAATTAATGTCACTCGTTAAAAATGTTCTAAAAAGCATTCTGCCAAATAGAATTTGTTTGATGCAGTCGTGCGATAAGGCTGCTGTGTACGAAGCGTCGAAAGGCAGATTGCGTCAGGACAAGTTGCGTTGCGCGTGTTACAGACGAGGTTATAGGAATGGCTCTATCATCGTGGCAATGAAGTAATGGCGTTCCTTCAGTATCATTAGCATTGTTACTAATTTCCCCAGGATCGGTTGTACAATTTGATATCTCTGCGTTACCGATATGTATCCTTGTAATACAATTTGTATATATATTAACATAAATATTGGGATTTCTGCCATGGAGTAGCAAACTGGACTTTCAATCCAGGAGTTTTTTTTTGCCTGGTTCAACTCTACCGGCTCAGCAGTTAGAACTGTGGGTGAGTTTCACGGAACTCGCCGTCTCTCTCCACCGAGATGTATATACACGGACGCACTGGGTCGCGTGTGCTGGGGCAGTGGCCCTTCTTCACGGCACTTAATGAGGCGAGAGAGAGGAGGCAGAGTGAGACGAAGTGTGTCTCATTGCCCCAAGCGTCGCCTCTTATACATTTGTTTATTTTTTTAAGGCAGCGCTCTTGGACGGGATGTGCATTGAGTCGTTCCATCGCCTGTGGTTGCACTCCGCTCGCAAAGCGGTGTCACCCACCGAGTGATCTATACATAGTAGGTCTCTCAAGGTAGATAAATGATGACAATTATTTCCATTACCAATGCCACGAATAGCAGCAGCATCATCATCATCATCCTCATCCATCAATAAATAATGGGCGGATTGCTTTTGTGAAACCTGTGCATGCGGCAAAAGTTTGCAGGTATGTGCGCACGCTCGGCTATAGTTAATCAAATTTTATTTTTGATAGATGAAAATTCGCCTTGTGTTGCCACTCCCTGCGTCGTTTGTCACGAAGCCTAATGTCGGGCTCTTTCCATGGAAGCTCATTAATCACCATTATCAACCCTCATTATCATAATTGCTGTCTAAAGTGTCAGGTTATAACTTCGCAGGAGAACACACAACATGTAAATCCCACCTTCTAGCCAAACAGGTTCCAATGCCATTCACGTGGCCGTTCGCATAAATTGGTTTGATGCGGCACTGAATTTCCATTGACGTTTCCGGCTACCGCTGATAGGGTTAGGGTGACTCGGCGCTTAGTGCTTCCAATTAAATCCCAAATCAGGGGTAGATAAAACAAATACTCCTGTCCGATTGACTCGCTTTCCCCTGCCATCGGAATGTGGAATATCCAGCAGTCGCAATAGAGCGCCGCTGGTGGCGAGATGTTTTCTCGCTCGCCTGGTATGCAGGAGGTCGTGGGTTCGATCCCAACTCTGATGCATGTAAATTTGGAGTTTGCATGTTCTCTCATTCCCCATGGTCGTGTGGAGTTTTCTACGCTTCCTCTGGGTTTTTACCTCCACATTTAGAATCAACATCACGCATTTAGAGTAATTGGCTGCTATCAATTTCGATGTGATGAGCCACTTTGTCGACCTTTCAATTCTGGCCAGATCGTTTCTGAAAAAAGCTATGTAGCTCAGTGGGCCTTACCTGGTAAAATAAAAAAAAGTTTAGTTTTACTTTATAACATACTGAGGTTAATGGCACAATTTAAGCTGTAAATAAAAATAAGTGGGCTTTGGCAAGGCACGGCACTAGAAGAGACAATGGCCAAGGGCCAAGAATAGAGATGGAGTGGCAGCAAGGTACGGAACACGTCCAAGAATATGGAACACATCCGAGAGCCATGATATCATCACGTGAGCAGGTGCTAGATGGATCATTACATCACAGGATCATGGGAGATGGTAACAACTTGAGGGGGCCGTTCATCCAACAGAGGATGTGACCATGGCTGATGATGACAATTGTGAATTTATATTCCGTAGAACCCTGCAATGAGATCCTGCTAAATTAGGTCACACTGAGTTACTGAAACCATTATCACTAATTTATTCCCCTACAGATTGTTATTTTTTTTCCATTCAATTATCTAATGTTACAAATTCATCAAAATTGAGGTCACCTTTTGTGCCCAAAAAATATGGTTATGGATGATATTATGCGAGTGTCAGATGGCCGAATGAAAGGAAAAGTCACAGGCTTGTCTGAAAAAAAGGGTCAGATGTAACTCATTTTTGTGCAGAGAATAATCAGATTTATTGTTAAAGCACCCAGAGAGGCGTAGAGATGTGCAATCAGGTTCGTTGAACGAAAGTACTTCAACGTTGATCTTGAGCATTTGAAAATCCGCAATGTCTCTGCAGGGGGGTTTTGAAGCTGGTCTAGCAGCACGCATCATCATCTGAAACAAAGCACATCGCTGGGCCAACAGCGACGCTGATATGCACGCAATATGCGCATAGCTCGCAAGAACGCGTAATCTGTAACTGTAGCTGTTACCTAAACCACGGGGGGTTATGACTTGGCCGAGACGGCCTCCATCCAGATCCCGCAATGCGCCCGTCTGGCCACCAAACCACGGGGGGGGCAAAAAACAAGAGCAAAGTCATCTGGACAATGCACGCATCAACTCTGCAATCAGGGAACTGGGGGTTGGAGCGTTAATTGCTGCCTCCTCATGTGTGGGCTCAATGGTGTGTGTGCACGCGCGTGTGGGGGAGCGGTGGTGTAGCGGTGAGCGCACTGCGCTACAAACCTGGCGACCCGAGTTCGATTCCCGCTCACGGCCAACACCGGTGACGATTATCTGAACCGGTACCGGGCCTCCCCTAGGTCGACTCAGACTCAAATGAGTATCTAGTGTGGCGCGTAAACATCGCCACTCGGAAGACAAAGGCGGCCGGGTGTGGTTGCTGTCCAGCAACCCCCCTCGTGTGCCGTGCCGGCCTTCATAGGTGCTGCTCGCTAAGAGCACTTGCCCCAACAGTCTGTTATGTCTATACGGGGCATCTTTGTCTTTGGGATGAGCCCCATTCACCGGTGGCTGAATAATTACCTGAGCGTTGACTCCTTTTTCAACGGCTGAGTGCTCACTCTAGAAAACTAATGATCTGCGCAGCATTAACCTTTTTTTAATCTCTTCTTGTTGGCCTCTGGGCCAACATAGACTGAGCCGGAGTTGATGGCTTAGTGGTGCCAGACACACGCGGTAGGAGTTGCCCGGCGCTCTGGGTTCGTGTGTCGATGACGTGCAGTGGCTGGAGGGGACTGCGGTGTAAGCGATGCCACCTCGCGATGAGGCGTTAAAATCAACCTCTACTCTGCCCCGAGGATGTAGTGGCTCTCACCTGTGTGTGTCCAATAAGGGATCATTTAACAGTTAAATAGTTTATTTAAAGCTTTCGTGACTGCAGGGATTCATATTCTTGGTTCTTTCGGTAAGGTCACGTAGAAGGGAAATAATGAAATAATATTAATAAAACTATTAAATTCTCACAACGTTTCGATTGCAACACAAGCAATCATCATCAGGTGTGAAAACAACAGCAAGAAAATGTTTTTTCATTTTCTTTTATTGTTTGATTTTTATTATTTTATTATTTCCCTTCATGAACTGCATTGGAAGCAGTTTGGTAACTCGGGCTAAAAGTATATCTTCGCTTTCATTATTATTATCAACCAATGCTTTGTATGTGAAATGTATAATAAGATACGATGCTGCCACAGTGGTGTAATGGTTAGCACACTGGAATTGCCTTCCGAGGTGACCGACTCAATCTCACAGAGATATCCCTGTATAGAGGTTTATCATCACAAGTATCAAACAGAAATTGATGCACACACACACACACACCCGTTAGAACTTCCATATCCTATGAAACCAAATAAATTACTTGTGAAATCTCACACGGACATATCGGTTGAATCATCGTTGCACCTTTGCACTGGGGCAGAGCTAGAGGGAGGCAATTTCCACTTCAATTTGGCGACACGGGCAGCCAAACGAGAAGGAAGTCATTATGCCGACCATTATCTTACGAGCTCCGGTCTTAATGCCCCCCTCCTAAAGTCAGATTTAACCTCAAGGTCTTGCCACTAGCTCCTCCTCTTTCCCACTTCTCCCTTTAAGGGCACAACTGAAGTTCAAGGCTACATACCCGATGGGCAGTGGTACGACTACGAAACGGTGAGTGAACGAGATGCGTATTTTACCCACATCACAATAGCACGGGTTTTGCAGAGGGGTGGCTTTGTTCATGTTTAACTTCATTGCTTTCCTACTGCCGATTTATTTCTGAGCAAAGCGTACGTATTTAAATGAGAACACGTATCATAAAAGCAGGCAGCTTTCAAACCAGGTAAGTGTTCCCATTTGATCTGAATGTACGACTTCACAGGGGATGATGTCACTTGTCTTACGCTATTTGCGTTCTTTTCCCACCAAAAGTGGTGTCATGTGACATGGGATAGCGTCAATTTAGTCGCATGAAGACAATAATTCATGTAAATGATCCAGAAATACGAAGAAGAAAAAACATCTGAAGTTACCTTTAAACAAATCTGAATATGTTTTATTTTACATACCTGCACCTCAGACACGCTTTGCTAAGCTCATGAATGTATTTGTGCTTGTGTGCCTGCATTTGTGTTTTGGTCTGCATTGCTAGGGTAAATTGGTTTCCAAAAACAGGCAGCGGTACACGTTCAGCATCCCCGATGACAAGATCTCGCTGCTCGTGCGCGGAGGCCACATCCTGGCCACCCAACAGCCAGCCACGCGCACTGACCTCAGGTGCGTGAGCAAACTTCAGCCGCCCTGGCAAGTTCAACTTTGATCCCAGCATCTCGTCACAGGGCAAGGAGAGAACGTGTGATGTGTGTGTTGACTTGGCACCTTTCAATTTTGCAGCTCGATGTCTTTGCAAATGCTCCTAGCTTATTCCTTGATGCAAAATAAGTGTGTTTAGTGTTTGTGGGTTGACATTGCCACTGTGTTGAGATGTTAACTCCATTGCCTGGTACGCAGGAGGCCGTGGGTTCGATCCCAACCCTCACGCCTGTATATTTGGAGTTTGCATTTTCTCCCCGTGGTCGTGTGGATGTTTATCCGGGTCCTCCGGTTTTTCCCTCCACATGTTGAATCGACATTCGTTTAGAGTATTTGGCTGCTATAAATGTCCACGTGATAAGCCACTTCATTGAGCAATTAACGAAGCGGCCAAGTCGCTTCTGAAAAGAGCTCTATAGCTGAGTGGGCCTTGACAGTAAAATAATAATAATAATGCATTCCAATGTGGAATGCACCTGTTCCATCTGTACGGGATACAGTGTTGCCCCCTCGCACGTGTGCATTTCCTCCAGGTGTTGTTCCGGTTTCCTCCCACATGTGAACACTCACTAATTCGGCCGATAAGTTTAAATTATTATTTTTATCACTGCAGAGGAATGACGAATGAGTGACCAATTGCTGTGCGTTCTTTTCTACCAGCCGGAAAAACCCCATGGGGCTCATTATTGCGATGGATGCGGACTTTAAGGCTCAAGGAAACCTCTTCTGGGATGACGGGGAGACCAGGGGTGAGTGATGACAAAATGCGGTCATGTTTAAACAGCACATGTTGTTTCTCTCATTCATAAATTGAAAAAAAATCTATAAGTAGTCTCACGTGATTTCGTATATCATTTCACAGCAGTCATATAAACCAAGGGATGCTGCCGCAGCAAACCATTTCTTACACTGAACCTGCGACCCAGAGGTTGGCGGATAGATCTACCGGCACCAGAAGTTGGAACAATGGTGCACGTTTCTTAAATCAACCCCCCCCCCCCAAACTCTGACCAGCTGGGGGTATAAACGGGTTCACCATGGTCATTTGATCAGCAGGCCATGTGAGGTGGAGGGTAAAGTGCCTGCCCGGCCATGCAATAGGAGGCCAAATACCCTCTGCAGGGACTCACTTGTTGAGCTTCCTCTTCTGAGTGTCCTTCCACCAGCAGAATTTTCCTTGAGAAAGCAATTTGCACTGATTCTAAATTACCACCATTACCATATAATTCATAGCAACCCACTGCAGTGGACACGATGGAGAATAATAATTGCATTTTATATAACGTCATACATGTCAACTGCATCCCACAACGATGTACATTCATTATGTACAAGGACCAAATCCCAAATACGAGGTTTGCTACGCACAGCGCGAAAGAAGCCCAACACACACACATGCATACACACCGAGCAAATTAAGACCCTACTACTACCAAGAAAAATCTAAAATTAATAAACAAACTAAGAAATGTAATCAAAACAGAAAGCACAAACGACAAAAAGGTTATCACAGCAAATACATGAGTCCATTAGGACTACACATCTCAGACCACAATCTCCAACTTCCCAACCAGGCCAGTAAACCTTCGAAGGAGGGGCGGTGGAGGGCGCCACGGTGGATAGGAGATGTTGACTCCCTCGCCTGGTATGCAGGAGGTCGTGGGTTTAATCCCGACCCTGATGCCTGCTCCATATTTGGAGTTTGCGTGTTCTATCCCTGGGCATGTGGATTTTTCCCTTCACGTTTAGAATCAACATGCGTTTGGAGTGTTTGACTGCTTTGCATTTCCATACGATAAGCCACTTCATTGACCTGTCATTTGTGGCCAGGTTGCTTCTGAAAAATAAGCTAATAACTCAATGGGCCTTACCTGGTAAAAAGTAACAAAAAGTAACAAATAAAATACAGCAATCATAGGGTTAATGCGCCACACACTTCCTTACTGCTGTCGTAGGGTCGTGGTCCACATCGCGGCTAACCCCTGCGGAGGCTGGTTGTCCTCTGCCGCTCAGTGTTGTGACAAGCGTCCTCTACGTGAACACTCACCTTATGTGCTGCCATTGGCTACGGAGCAGGTCACGGTTTTAAATAGGAAATAAATAGACGTGGAAGCTCTGGTTCGTGATTGCTTGGTAAACAAACAGAAGTGAAAGGGCATGGAATTTGCGTGTGATTGCTCTGTTTTTTCCCTCTACATTGAGAAACATGCATTTGGATTATTTAGATTATGTTGATGCTATAAATGTCCACATGATAAGCCACTACGTTGAGCTATCATTTGTGGCCAGGTTGCTTCTGAAAAATAAGCGAATAGCTCAGTGGGCTTTACATGGTAAAATAAAAATAAAAAATCTGTTTTATTTCGTCTTTTTGGTGAGTTTTATATGTTTACTATATTTTGCACTCCTATCGTATTTATGTATTGTTGTTGTAATGTTCTGACCCGCCTCTTCTGGACATCTGTGAAAAAGAGCTTTATATACCATCCTATTCCTCCAGTATCAATGCATATCTTGATTCTGATTCGGAGCAATCCTGGGCTTGAATCTGGGCAGCCACTTCTGACTAAGCTCAATACTCAAGTGTCGTGACTTCATGGTTTCTCCTTCAACATGGAAGAGACATCTTCCTCAGCAGTGCCTGTGCAGTGGATGTGCATTGCGTCTGTTGTAATGTAATGAATACGTCGGAAACGTATTTTGCCTTTTATCGGGGGAGATCACGCAGCCACCCAGGCCCTATAACGTAAACATCACAGTTGCATACACGTGGGGCTAGGTTAGGAGACACACGCTTGCAAGCGGAGAGAGTGTTGTCCTTCCCCCCACATCTTCGATTAGCACGGTTGGCTACGTACGGTGCGTACGAAGTTCAGCGTGCATGCACACATCATGATACCTGCCGCTTTTCCTCGCCCACAGACTCGTTCCAGAAAAACAAACACCTCTACTACACGTTCGTGTGCACTGACGTGAGTATGGCTGGGCCGCACACGCAGGCATGTGTCCGTGTCCCTGCCTCTCGGAAAAAGAGGTGCCGATGTTTCAGGATCCCTGTGGGAACTCGAGGCAGCGTCGTAACGTCGGGGAGCGCCTCTCCAGCCTGGGCTCAGCCCTCCAGTTTAAGATTCATGAAATTATAATTATTCCATTCATGTAGCGCTTTTCATCAAGGATTTCTAGAGGGCACAGCAGCAGCAGACACTCAGCATGAAAATAATTATATTCTAAAAATATTTTAAGAATCCATTTACTAAATTAACTGAAGTTTAACAAGCGGAAGCATGTACATGTGTTTTAAAACGCATTTTTACATTGTCCACAAACTCAGATGGATTCTAAAATCTCGTAGAAGAGTGTTCCATAGCCTGGGGGCTACACGGGGAGAAATCTCGGTCACCCACAAACTGAAGTTTCAACCTGGCAATGCAGAGAAGATCTGCATCCCCAGATGTTAGGGACCTTGAGGGTACATGGGTGCAGTGTGTCAATGATGTAGGCTGGGGCAAGATGGTCCACTGCTTTGTACGCTAACAATATAATTTTAAACTGTATTCTAGTGCAACTAAAAATCAACCAAGCTACAGACTCGGAATCGTCAGATTATATATTTTTTTAATGAAATGAAATTGTTGAAATATTCTTAGGTTTTTTCGGTAAAGTCATGTAGGTAAAACATCAAAATTAATAAAGATGTAATCCCTGAATCATTGCCTCACTTGATGCAGCTAATCTGGCTGTGACGGTCCCACCTGATGACTGAGACTTGTGTTGCCTCCGAAACGTCGTGATCTTTATTTTATTTTATTTTTTATTAATTTTGATGTTTTACCTACGTGACTTTACCGAAAAAACCTAAGAATATGAATCCTTGCAGTCACGAAAGCTTCAAATCTAAAATTGTTGAAAACTGCATTTTTGTGTAAATAACACGAGCTTTATAGCTCGTGTTATTCCTCCAGGACCAATAAATATTCTGATGATTTAGAACGATCCTGGGTTTGAATCTGGGTAGCCACCTGTACTCAAGTGCCGTGAGTTCATGGTTTCTCCGTCAACATGGAAGAGGCATCTTCACCAGTGCCTGTGCAGTGGATGTGCATTGCGTCAGTCAAGAAGGATGAAGGCCACAGTTTGGTCGAGAAGCAGCAAGAAGTGCGCCTGTGTCTACTGGCACATTCTTATTAGGATCTGAGTGATAACTATGAAAAAAACTATAATTTTATTTTTTTACCAGGGGAGGCCCACTCTGAGCTACACAGCTCTTTTTCAGAAGCGACCTGGCCACAAATGATCTCCCAATAACGTGGCTTATCGCGTAGACATTTATAGTAGCAGCCAAATAGTCTAGATCTATGATTTTAAATCGGAGAAAAATCCACGTGACTACGGGGAGAGAGACATGCAAACTCTAAATATACAGTAGGCGTTAGGGTCGGGATCGAACCCACGACCTCCTGCATACTAGGCGAGGGAGTTAACATCTTGCCACCGTGGAGCCCAACTAGAGCAGAGTGTATGATAGACAAGAGCAGATTATATATTTATTCGGTTTAGCGTTTAACATTTGTGGACAGTTTGTTTAACATTGACTTTGGTCATGTCCCCCCCCCCCCTTGAGTTTTCTGGATGTCCCCCCAGTCCCTCCCCCTTTATGCTAAGTCACTCTGCAGGGTTGACCTGAGGTCTTCACCCACGAACTCGATTTACAGAATCGACTACAGATTACCATGGACGGAGGGTACACGGACCCGGACGGGATCAACATTGATGAGCTGAGACTGCTGGGCCTCAGTTTTCCAATCGGGAGCGCCAAAGTCATCAACTCAGCGGGAGGAGAAGTGATCATTCCGACCAACCAGCTTTCTTTCGACAAAGTCAACAGGGTGAGGAGCAGCGTTTTGTCATTGCAGCGCCAGGCACTCTGCAGGCAGAAGGGGCCTCCACTAGAGCGAGCTCTAGAGAGACCCTTCAAGACTCTAGAGGGTGTTTCTTGACCTCAGGGTCCATGCTGGCCAGACTTATTGGAAGAGGTGGGGGTACCCACACTTTACTCCACCACGTGTGTCCTGCCGACCAATGAACTTGTGAACCCATTCGTGATGCTGGGTGGACCGAGGTGAGGGGGAAGTTTAGGAACTCGCCCCATTGTTTAAACTGCCGTACTGGGAGCTGAAAGCAGTGATGTCTGGATTGCAAGTTAGAGTGTCCTAATCGTTACACCACGGCAGCATCCACTCAATTTATATGCTATTCTTTTGAGAATAAAATAAATTAGCAGACAAGATGCTTCCTTCCCATATTTGTCCAATCGGCTCCGCGTTTTTTTAAAATCCTTTGTATTAAGTTCGCTTGCTTGCTTGCTTAGGACCGTGCAAATCTTTCGGTCGTTTTTTAACCCACTCCCCGTGATCCAATCGAGCTGACATTTTCCACACAGACTCGTTGTGCGTGACAATTAATGTTCGTGAAAAACTTTTTCCAAAATTTTACACTTTTTTGACAAAAATATTATATTTAATTACCAATTGCTTAATGGTGCAATGCAATCATCTGACCCATAGGTGGCAGCCATCTCAAGCCAGAGGACGAGATGACTCTAGCCACCACGCATATAAAGGATTTATAGTGAAAAACTTAGTTTTTACTGGTTATACTTATTACACATCCCATTGGCTACATTCTTTTTAACAGCATTGATTCAATGCAAGCAAACAGTCGACCCCGTTTTGAATGTCATTCTCTCATGAACAGTCAGCCTTGCTTAAACCAAGTCTGGTGAACTGCCCAGCATTTCAAAGGCATTTTTGTTTGAAATTGGTCCTGGTTGAACACCAAACTATACAATACATGACATCGTACTAATAATTTAGCATCACTGGGAAGAGCGCAAGTGGTGTGGTTTTGAAAGAGGGACCATTAACAGATGCTGCCCATCGGTCTTTTGTCAGGTGGGCCACATCCGAGGTCTGGGCATGCGTCTGGGCTCAGAGTACGAGGTGCAGTGGGAGTACGAGGAGGAGCGCTTTGACTGCTACCCGGAGGCCGATGCCTCAAAGTCGAGCTGCGAAAGCCGCGGTTGCATATGGAAGGTGCGGTCACGCGCGTGTGCCCTTGCGGTCGCCACACTACGCCCGCCCTTTTTGCCATGTGCTCATTCTACTGGGAATGACGTCATAGGGGAGTGCTGTTGAGGGGTAATGCAATTACACACATAATACGGGTTTTTTGGGTTAGATCGCGTAACACCGCCAATTAGTAAGGTTTGTCACAGAACATGCCAATTCGTTACGAGTGTAGTCACTCAACTCGTAGACAGTAAGACTTGGAGGCACTTATTTATTTAACAAGCACCATTGGGATAATACACACCCTACGTGGGTGCACACTATTAATATTAAGACCATCTATTGTCAGCAGCACTACTTAGTTAGAACAGTTGGGAGGCTGTCTGCCTAACAGCGCCCCGGGATAGTGAAGACGGAGACAACGACGAGGAGATGGCGACGACGACGAGATGGTGACGATGTTAGATTTGAGCAACACAACGGGGATCCCACTTCCAGGAACAACCACGAGGTCCCGCACAGGGGCCCCTCTTATATTCCCATCGTGGCGTCGCTCCGCCCTGGTCACGCCCCCCTTCTGGAACCTACTAGCGGGTTCCCGGGGCTTCCCCCTGGGCCCCTTCTGTGACATTTCCGCCAGATGTCCCCCTCTCGTATATATCATGGCCTGCTGCCGTATTTCCGTACACCGCAGTTCCCCTTTTTCGCCAGCAGCCAGCGCTATGCCACAATCTGAGTACGACGTTTCGCCAGTAACAACAACTAACTTCATCAGGCGACAGACAGATTTGTTGTAATTACTGGCGAAACATCGTACTCAGATTGTAAATGTTGTGGCTTTGCTTTCCAACACACCGGTGTGCTGTATTATTAACGAATTGGCATGTTCTGTTTATGTGACAAACCTTACTAATTGGCTGTGTCGGGTGGTGGCAGGTTTAATGCCACATATTTATGGATAATATTGGTCGCAAAAGCCTACATGTTAAAGTATCAATAAGTAAAGATCCCGTGAGACCAGAATGCTTCGGCCCATTGTATGCCCGCATCATCATCTAAACTTAACAAACTTGACAATTACTCAAAAATTACTCAATTGCTATTACACAGGCCAGGTGCTGAGTTAGCCTTTTTAATGTATGTATGTTGAATATCTTTCACGTCGTACGTAGCCAACCATGCGAATCGGAGGTGTGGGAGAAGGACAACGAACTAAGCATAAAAAGCAGTTGTAAAGAAATGAGTTTTCAATCCAGATTATTTAAAAGTGCATAGCTCCAGTGACTTCCTAATATCGGAGGGAAGAGCGTTCCATATGGCCACAGAAAGGGCATCTGAGAACGCACGATGCGATGACCATCTTTCTTGTTGTGTCACACCAGGTACCGTTCAAATGTGTTGAGATGAGATGTGATGTAAGTTGCTGATCACGTGCAAAGTACGCCGAGAATGCTTCGGTTGTGATGGAGGGCATATCGACCAAGCCAGCCAAGCATCATCATCACGACCATGATCAAGACTCATTCGCGTGTTTTCATTGTCCCGCGTGCCAGGAGCACACGACACCCGGCGTGCCGTGGTGCATCTACGACGGTGTCTACGGCTACGAGGCGACGGGCGCCCCAACCCCCACCGCCATGGGCCAGCGCGTGGTCATCAAGCGCAACGCGGCCTACCCACGCCGCTACCACAGCAGCAGCAACCCCACGGTGGAGACTCTCAACGTGGACGTCGAATTCTTCAGCGACCACAGCCTCCGAGTCAAGGTAAGTAAGTAACAAAAAGGTCCAAAATGAGCACTGAGATGGAAATTTCACATTCCTTTGACGGTATGTATGTATGGTGAACTTCTTTCGCACCGTATGTAGCCAACCGTGCTAATCGGAGGACGTGTGCGGTGTGGCTAAAATGTGAACATTCCATGGCGAGATGTTACCTACCTCGCCTGGTATCCAGGAGGTCATAGGTTCGATCCCGACCCTGACGCCTGTATATTTGGAGTTTGCATCTCTCTCTCCCTGTGGTTGCCTGGATTTTTCTCTAGGTCCTCCAGTTTTTCCCTCCAAATCTAGAAGAATTGCATTTTATATATTTGGCTGCTATAAATTTCCATGTGATAAGCCACTTAATTGAGCTATCATTTGTGGACAGGCAAATCGGAGGTGCCTGGGGAAAGGACATACAACGTAAAGACAAAAATCGGTTCCAAAGAAATTAGTTTTCAATTTAGATTTAAAAGTGTGGAAGCTCCAGTGGCTTCCTAATATTGTAATGAAGAGCGTTCCACACGGCCGCAGAAGCACATCTGAAAGCGTGCGATGCAGTGACTGTCTTTGTTCGATTGCTAGCCAAAAGCTGCTGCTGCTGCGAGGATAACCGGAGTTTGCGTGATGATGGCTCATGCTCCTTGACGAGACCAGCAAGGTGTTGTGGTGCATTTGTGGCAAACACTTTGTGTGTAATGAGCGCGACCTTCAAATGTATTCGTTCAGCAACCGGAAGCCAATGCAGCTTGGCGAGCACCAGACGCACACATAGTATAACCACTTTTTTTTTTCTTCTTGGTTCTTTCGGTAAAGTCACGTAGAAGGGAAGTAATAAAATAATAAAAATAAAACATAATAAAATAAAATAATTCTCACGACGTTTCGGCCACAACGCAAGCAGCCGTCCTCAGGTCGGACGGATGAATCCCTGCAGTCACGAAAGCTTTAAATCGAAGTATAACCACTGTTGACCTCCTCACAAAATGGTATGCATTGCATCTACCCTGGGAGGGATGATGGGGATAAATCAACCCATAACTAGGATTTGAATCTACAACCGTACGATTGCAAGCTGCTTGCTCTACCGCTGAGCCACCTGAATATTACTTGCATAAATATTACTTGCATAAAAACCTCTCAAAGCTGGATTCGACTAAAGCCGGAGATCGGGGTAAGACAAAAGACCTCCCAAGGTAAATAGAGAAAAAATATTCACCACTAAGCGCCGACACGAACACTCTGCGCACAGTCGGCGGTGCTGTGAGATTATGCGCATCAGAATATCTAAAGCTATTATATGCACGTACTATCATTTGTTGTATGGAATTTTGGAGTTCAATTCCCTTGGATGCCACATGTTATGTGCTGGGAAAGCTGAAGATCCCAGCGCATGGAGATAAACATTGGACATCATGCCAAACTATAAATTAAACTATGACATTTTTATGTTACCAGGTAAGGCCCACTGAACTATGTAGCTCTATTTCAGAAGTGACCTGGCCACAATTGATAGCTCATCAAAGTGGTTTATCATGTGGAGATGTATATAGCCAAATACTCTGAACGCACGTTGATTCTAAATGTGGAGAGGATAACTGGAGGTCCCGAATAAAAACCCATGCGACCACGGGGATAGAGAGAACACGAAAACTCCAAATATACAGCAGGCATCAGAGTTGTGAACCCACGGCTTCCTGTATACCAGGCGAGGCAGTTAACATCTCGTCACCGTTAACAGCAAGCGGTACAACCCAGAGCCACGTAAGAGGGATGAAATACCGCAAATCGTGATTTTTTTTATCCCCAGATTTACGATCCAGCAAAAGCTCGATATGAAGTTCCGGTCCCACTCAACAAACCGAGCGTCCCCGGTGGCACCGAGGCTTCCCGTTTGTACCATGTGGAGTTCGTGGACAGCCCATTCGGAATCCACGTCATCCGCAAAAGCACGGGGAAAGTCATGTGGGTATTGCCATCACAGTGCGCACAACAAACACACAATTGCACGCATACATACATGCATGTGCCGTGCACACTTCGTACGCACATATACATTCAGTGTCAGTTCATTCGACTCCTAAATTCGTGACAGATCCAGACTTGAATAAATCAGAATTCGGGTTATTCCACAAAGGCTTCCTGAAAGTAAATAAAAGCATAAAAAAGTAAGAATGCAGAGGTCAGAACACTGTTCACGTTCTGATTAATCTGTACAAAGGGCCTGGCATTGTGCAGACAATCCACATGCATCAGTCTGTCACGTGGTCTGTCACGTGGTCTGCTCGCGATGAGGTTATGCTCTTGTTTTAGTATATCATCCCTCTCGATATATTACATTCATTTAATTTTATTAATCTATTAAAAAAATTACTGTGAAACAGTGAGGACGTAATATCATCACCAGCAGACCACTGGCGAGACGGTTGCAATCTTTCAACCTTAGATAACTTAGTCACGAGCTTAGTTGGAATTTTTTATTAATGTTACAGTCATTCTACAAAAAATTTTAGTTAATAAAAAAATAATTGATCAAATATTGGTGTGCAGTGCATTCCATTTCTAAATAAACAATTGTAAATGTTTTCTTTGTTATTTAATATAAAATGCTTTTAATTCATTACATATTTTGCAAAATTAATTTATTTTGTCAATCAATTACTCACCATCCGTCCCTATTTAAATCACAATGCTGTACATCATTCGGATGTCTTGTGAGGCCGTCATATCACGATTTTGCCTCTGACTTCGCAAAGCAAACATCCAGCGACAGATGTGCCGATGGGGAAAGGGGTGGGGGGGACGTACAGCATTGGAGAGACACCTCCCCAAAGGAGGGGGACTCAAAGCCAGGCATTGACTCAGGGGTGGGGTGGCCCCACTTGGTTCCGAGGTTCCCGTTGGAGGCAACGGGGGTGTCCCATCGAGGCCGCCCATTGGGCCCTCTGTTTTCTCGTCCTCAGCTGGAACTCGCAGGCGGCCGGCTTCACCTTCACGGACCGCTTCATCCAGATGTCCGCGCTGCTGCCGAGCGAGAACATCTACGGCTTTGGCGAGACTGAGCACGACACGTTCAAGCTCAAGCTCAATTGGGAGACGTGGGGATACTTCTCGAAGGATCAGCCTCCCGGGGTAACAACGTCATCCCCGTTGCAGCGCTCTCTCACGGCGGTGTCCGCGTGCCACTCAGGACAGTCACAGCTCGGGAGAGTCTCAGACAATCGCGCGTACTGCGGTGGACTGCTGTGATAAAAATTACTTTTTTATTCAAATGTTTTAAAATAAGACCCACTGAGCATTGATACTGGAGGAATACGATGATATATTAAGCTCTTTTTCACAGATGTCCAGTAGTGGCGGGTCAGAACATTGTAACAACAATACAAAAATACGATAGGAGTGCAAAATATAGTAAAGATAGGAACTCACCAAAAAAGACAAAATGAAACTGAATTTTTATTTTATTTTATCATGCAAAGCCCACTGAGTTATTCGCTTATTTTCCAGAAGTGACCTGTCCACAAATGATAGCTCAATTAAGTGGCTTATCACATGGAAATTTATAGCAGCCAAGTATATAAAATGCAATTTTTCTAGATTTGGAGGGAAAAACTGGAGGACCTAGAGAAAAATCCAGGCAACCACAGGGAGAGAGAGATGCAAACTCCAAATATACAGGCGTCAGGGTCGGGATCGAACCTATGACCTCCTGGATACCAGGCGAGGTAGTTAACATCTCGCCATGGAATGTTCACATTTTAGCCACGCCGCACACGTCCTCCGATTAGCACGGTTGGCTACGTACGGTGCGAACGAAGTTCAACATACCATACGTACAGATGCACGTTCTCCGAAATGTTAAGTACACGCAGTCCTCCTCTCCATAGGACATCACCTATTCATCGTGGCAACTGACGATGGACAATATGATGCCCAACATGGCAGAAATGTTTGGTAAAGCAGAGCTTGGCGTTCAACATGGTGGCAGCCGGTAGACGCTTAGTGTCCACTGTAATGAGCAGGATCAGAAATGTTTTCGTTGGTATAAAAGAAAATGCAACATGTTTGTGGGGTTCTTTGGTCTGAATCACATTAAACTAAAAACAAGTTATCAATTGGTTTTGCTTTTAATTCATCACGCATGGGAGAGTTACGTTTCAAAATGGCTTCCTGGTTCAAATAAGCCACTGCGTTGGCCTGTTATTTGTGATCGCCAGGTTCCTTCTGAAAAAGAGTTATATATCTCAGTGGGCCTTAACCTGGTAAAATAAAAAGAGTTTAGTTGAATAGTTATGAAAGGTATCTACTTGGTTTTTGAATAACTTAACACCTGTTTTATTGCCAGAATGGGTAAAACATATTCTTATTTTTAATAATGTTTGATACTGGCATAAACGTCTCCATAGGTATTAATAGTCTGAGTTTATTTTAACACGTATGCTTTCACGACGAATATTATCCATAAAAGAGGTTTTTTGGGTTAGATCGCGTAGATATCAATGTGCCGTTAAACCCGTTTGTCACGTAAACAGAACGTGCCAATTCGTTACTAGTTCAGAACACCGGTGTGTTGGAGAGCAGAACCCACATCAATTGAAAACATGTTTAGTTTAATTAGGTACTTTAGTTTAAAGGGTACTTTAGTTGAAATGGGTACTCATCTTCAACTGTGGCCCCCGAAGTAAGTGGTGGCTATCCCACATGACTATTACACTGCCAATGTACACCATATTATGACCACTGTTGGCTTCTTCTTGGTTCTTTCGGTAAAGTCACGTAGAAGGGAAGTAATAAAATAATAAAAATAAAACACAATAAAATAATTCTCACGACGTTTCGGCCACAACGCAAGCAGCCGTCCTCAGGTGAAAACCAGGTCCGTCGAGGCGACAGAGTCTGAATGACTGTTGGCTTCCCAAAAAAAGCGGTGCTCATTGTTGTCAGCCCCATAAACCTGCATTTGAACTCTTAAATACCAATAATAATTTTAATTTGTCAGGCGCATTTCACCCGTAAATCCCAATGCACCCAAAACCGGTCTGACCACGAATGGTTTCAAAGACTCAGTGCCAACCATCCGAGTGTCTTGCTATAGATGCGGTAGTACTGGTAGGAACCACCTGGTTCCACCAGCCCACAGGGGATTATTGTGTCCGTCCGTTGTGCATCCAAAAATGGGAGGGGTGGGGCTGGGTGGAGAGGGGAGGGTGGGGAGGGGCTGGGTGGGGAGGGTGGGAAGGGGCTGGGTGGGGAGGGGAGGGTAGGGAGGGGCTGGTCACTCCGTAATGCCCTTATAAAACTCAACGTTTAACCTACTCACGCTGGCTTGTGCCCGCCCTCACAGTCGGCCATATTTGCGGAATACACCACGCCGCCATTGACCCTGGCCATTGACCGAGCAACCCAACGTCCCAACCAGCTCCCTCCGCAGGAATGTGTTAAATGTCACTCATGTGTTGGCCCTACTGTGCACTTTATAACAAGACTGTGGCATAAATAGTTCAAAGTTACTGCTGGGAGTTATTATCTTGGTGGTGGCCTGGAACTGTTTTTGTTGTTGTTTTCTGCTGCCTTCAACCAAGCTTGATAAATCGGACTTATATAATGCATTTATCCATGATAGAGGTTTTGGGTTAGATCATGTAAATATAAATGTGTCATTGGACCTGCCACCACCCGACACAGCCAATTAGTACGGTTTGTCATGTAAACAAAACGTGCCAATTCGTTACTACTTCAGCACACCGGTGCGTTGAAAAGTAAACCCACAAAATGTACAAACCTTAGTAAATAGCTGTGTTGGGTGGTGGCGGGTTTAACGACAAATTTATATTTACACAAGCTGACCCAAAAAAAAAACCTATCATGGACAATATTTGTCGTGAAAGCCTACGCACTAAACTAAAATACTTATATTTATAATTTATTTCAATTTAGTGACTTGGTTTCCATTGTTGCTCTTTTGCACTCCACTTGTCTTTTGTAATGTTTGCTTCATTACTCGCTGGCCCGGCCCATACAGGACACCTAGAGAAAAAGAGCGTCATATTTCATCAGATTCCTCCAGTTTAAAATGAATATTCTGATTCTGTGTGTGTGCTGTGTACCCACAGTACAGAGCCAACGCATATGGGGTGCATCCCTACTACATGTCGGTGGAGGATGGGGCCAATGCGCACAGCGTTCTGCTCTTCAACAGCAATGCCATGGGTGAGAAGCGTGTGTTGTCATTGTCGTCATCGTAAAAGTGTTTAGTTAGCCTTCGACACTTGTATGTATGTTGAACTTCTTTCGCACCGTACGTAGCCAACCACACGAATCGTATCTGCGGGGGAAGGACAACACGCTAAATACAAAAAGCAATTATAAAGAATTAAATGTCAATCTAGATGATTTAAAAGTGCAGAGCTCTCAGTGGGTTCCTAATATCGGAAAGAAAGAGCGTTCCAGACGGCCGCAGAGGCGCATCTGAACGTGCCGCGCGATGCAATTCACATGGCCTCAAAGTGCTTGGCAGTGAAACCCATCTGAACAAACCGCGCGACGCAATTCACGTGCAAATATGGCCAACTGTGAGGGGGGGCACAAGACGGCATGAGTAGGTTAAACGTTGAGTTTTATAAGGGCACCACGGGGTGACCAGCCCCTACCCACCCAGCCCCACCCCTCCCACCCAGCCCCACCCAGCCCCACCCTCCCCACCCAGCCCCTCCCCACCCTTCCCTCCCTCCCCACCCTAGCCCCTCCCCACCCGCCCCACCCAGCCCCTCCCCACCCTCCCCTCTCCAACCAGCCCCACCCCTCCCATTGTTGGATGCACGACGGACGGACGGACACAATAATCCCCTGTGGGCTGGTGTAACCAGGAGGTTCCTACCAGTATAATCTATTTGCTAAACACACTTGCCTCGACAAGTCTATCAATGCTATACGGAGGAACTTTGCATTTGTACGTGTGTGTGTGTGAGTTGCGTTTGTGACGCACAGCCTTAATGTCACTCCTGCTGTGCGAGCAGACATTGTTCTGCAGCCCAACCCAGCGGTGACTTACCGCACCACGGGGGGCATCCTGGACTTCTACTTCACACTCGGACCCAGCCCAGAGGAAGTCACGCAGCAGTACACTGCCGTAAGTACTGGTAGATTTCACACTGATATACACCCTGCAGTGCACTGCCATGAGTACTGGTATATTTCATACTGATACACACCCTGAAGTGCACTGCCATAAGAACTGTTGTGTTCACACTGATGTACACCCTGCAGTACACGAGCAAGTGTAAGTCCTGGCATATTCATATTGATATACAAAGAGCAATACACTCACGTGAGCCTGAGAACATCATGTGTGTATGTTGAACTTCTTTCGCATTCGTACATAGCCAACCGTGCTAATCGGAGGTGCGGGGAAAAGGAAAGGACAACAAACTAAACGCAAAAAACACTTTTTTTTAAAGAAATTCGTTTTAAATCTAGATTTTAAAGTCCAGTGGCTTCCTAATATCGGAAAGAAGAGCGTTCCAGACAGCCGCAGAAGCGCATCTGAAAACGTGTGATGCGGTGACCGTCTTTGTTCGATGCTTCGCCAACGGCCGCTGGCTCACCATCGAACAAAAGCCACTGGGCTTAACCATTGAACAGTGGCAGCTAAACTCTGCCGCCCCATCCACCGCACAGCCCAGACCTAGAACCTCACGTTCCCATCAGTTTTGAAGGGCAGCCTACTATGGGGCGGTATTTTTTAACACGATACTACCGCACACATTGGTGCAAGTGTCGAGAAAAGGACAGAGGCTCGGTTGGCAAATTGCCAACGTGTTCACGCCAAACTATTGAATGCCTTACTACACCTTGGTGTCATAACGATGGGCAGCACTTGCCCCCCCCCCCCCCCCCCCCAGTTGCCAGAAAATTGCTCCCTGGACAGAAGCTCCCTTCACTCTGCTGTCCGGATATGGAATTGCCTCCCTGAACACATTGTCGACAAAATCACCGATTCTGGTCTTCAGGCCTCCAAGTGCCGAGCAGAACATAGGACATCTCCTAACTTCACCACACGCCTTGTAGGGACTGAGTCTTTGAGCTGCGGTGAACGCAATGATTATACCGATTAGATGATATGGCTGTTGTTCACAATTTCACCGAATAACACAAAAAGCCCGGGTTTCTTTTTTGCGTGGACCAATTCACACATCCCCCAAACTCCTCCTCGTCCCATCTCCACAGACGTATGTATGTTAAACTTCTATTGCACCATACATAGCCAACCGCGCTAACACTGTCCACTTGATCTATCCCCAACAGCCCTTCCGTTTAGTCCCCCAAAGCGTCTACAACCATAGTCATCCACAACTCTGCCTTTAGAGCATCTGTGCCCGCCCCCCTCTCTGATCGATCCCACAATGCCCCTCCCCTCGTTCCCAAAAGCCCCGCCTATAACGATGGAATAGACACCAGATTCCCAATAGCTTCATTTCGTCGATATCGAAAGTAAAGGTAAATGCCATGGTGTATTGGTCAGCACACAGGACTTGTGATTCAGAGATCGCTGGTTCAATGCAATATTCTGGTGCAGCGGTTTTACAAAAAACTGCAAGTTTCTGCATAATACTCTTAGTTTTTTCGGTAAAGTCACGTAGGTAAAAAATGAAATTAAAATTAATACATTTTTTAAAATTAATTAATAAATAAAAATTATTAATTTTAATTTCATGTTTTACCTACGTGACTTTACCGAAAAAACTAAGAGTATGAATCCTTGCAGTCACGAAAGCTTCAAATCTAGAATTTCTGCATAATCCCCCCCACCCTTTTCCAGCCAATTGTACGAATGGGTTGAACTCACTTGAGTTGATCGGCAGGTGCCGTATACTGGGATAAATTGTGGGCATTCCCACCTCTTTAATCACCTCTGGCCTGCACGGAAGGGCAGACCAAATTGCCCTCTAATGCTCCCTCTAGCGGAGGCCCTTCTGCCAACACTTGTCAAGGGCAAGCAGATTCAAGGCTACGTTTTTTTCACCTTTTTGGAAAATACTTTTGGGGCATTATTTTCTACACTGCCACCGTTCACCGTCATTAACGATAACCGTTAGCGGTGTACGTATCGTTTCGTGTCGTGCCTCCTTTGCAGCTCATCGGACGCCCGGCCATGCCTCCTTACTGGTCTCTGGGCTTCCAGCTGTGCCGCTACGGCTACGCCAACGACACGGAAATCCTGAACCTCTACAACGACATGAAGGCAGCAGGCGTCCCCTATGTGAGTGACAGACGTCGCCTATGCAATTTGTACACATGATCTACTGCTCTGGCATATATTATCTCGTCAACCTACACGTCATCTTTACACTTGAAAACATTTGGCCGTGTTAAGTGTATCTCAGGAGTCTTATTATGATTTTTTTGTGGGGAGCGGTGGTGCAACGGTTAGCACGCTGCGCTGAGAACCCGGCGACCCGACTTCGATTGCCGCTCACGGCCAACACCAGTGACGATTTTTTTAATTGGTCCTGGGCCTCCTCTAGGTCGACTCAGCCTCAAATGAGTAACTGGTGTGATGTGTCAACATTAACACTGTGCCAGCCTTCATAGGTGCTCGCTAACAGCACTTGCCCCAACAGTCTGTTAAGGCTTTACGGTGGCCCTTGTCTTATTATCATGAACATCTTTTATCTTTGGTAAATTGTGAATATTATTACGTAGGAAAAGTGAGTGTGAGTGAGGCATGGGGTGACAGGATGGCCCCACCTATTGCTTCGATGTTCAATGCAGAATGCATTATCGTCTTCGTAAAAGTACGTTCATAGCGTGAGTTATAAATGCCCTTGTGTCAGCAACATAAATCAGAATGGTGGTAATGCATTGAGTTGCTTTATCCTCAGTCCAGGTCTACTGCAATGAAGGTTAATGCCAACTGAAAAGTTGAGTCCACGCGGTGGTCTCCTGACAACGCCTCTCGGCCCTCTTCCGTCGCACAGGACACTCAGTACGGTGACATCGACTACATGGTGAGGCAGTTGGACTTCACCTTAAACAAGGAAAAGTTTGGAAACTTCCCCAGCCTGATCCGACGCATGCACGACGAGGGCATGCGAATCATCATCATCCTGGTGAGCACGGGGGGGTAATGTAGCCATGAGCAAACGGAGTTTAACGCGGAAGCTTTCACCACCAATATTATGCATAGTACAGGGTTCTTTATTGGGTTAGATTGCGTGAATATAAATGTGTTGTTAACCCGCCATCATCCGACACAACCAATTGGTAAGGTGTGTCACGTAAACAAAATGTACCAATTCATTATTACTTCAGCACACCGGTGTATTCGAGAGTAAACCCACAACATTTACAATTTGACGACGACATTGATGATTACAACCAGCTTCATCAGGTGATTTCCAAGCTGGCGCTCTTGTTTGCCATTTACACATGCAATGCGTCATGAATCAAGGTGTCTTTTTTTTAAAGATGCACTCAAAAATGTTGATGGTGAAACGTCACCATTGTTATTTTACTTTCCAGGATCCAGCAATCGCTGCGAATGAGACTGAGCCATATCCTGCATACACTCGTGGTGTGGAAAATGACGTTTATATGAAACGTCCAGATGGACAAATCATGTTTGGAAAGGTAATCCTAAAATACATTGTGTTTTACCGCGTAGTTTCTTGGAGTTGTGCTGTATGTATGTAGAACTTCTTTCGCACCGTACGTAGCCAACCGTGATAATCGGAGGTGCGGGGGAAGGACAACAAACGGAACCCAACATCAAATGCATCACGGGGGTGTAAAGGCGTGGTGTCATTATGATTTTTTTGGATGTTCACAAATCTGACCTATTCAGATGTGCCTAATCTCACGTGCATTCACTTACTAGCATAGTCAACTAAATCTCCCCCTCCCCTCCCCATGTTTAAAGCAGTTTGCTTTCATTTTTTGTCCACTAACCTATATTTGCAAAGTGTAAATACCATTGTCTTTTGATGTTGACATATCTGACCTTTTTACATATTGACCGAAACCTATGTCTGCAAGGAGTCACATAATTATACTGATGTGTTTTTGGGATTAACCCAAAGCTATAGGTAAAAATGTACAATGCTCACAACACAGTAGACTGCCAAAATATGTTTGATTGTAAATATGAACGCCAATGTGAAATTAAACAGCAACTCTCAAATTAACACGGAGCGTGTGTGTCTGAATGGATTGTTGTGTGAAGGTGTGGCCTGATTATCCTAACGTTCAAGTGGATGATACTCAAGACTGGGACTTTCAAGTTGAGGTGCGTTACACACACGCATTGGGGCTCTGATTCCAATTCACGGCTTCCCTTTGTCTATTGATTTGGCTGAGTGGCGCAGTGGTTAAAGCGCAATGACTCGCAATGGAGGGTCATGAGTTCATATCCACAACTCGAATTAGCACATTTGGCTACGTACGGTGTGAAAGAAATTCATCACACAGGGACTTTTCTACTTACGAACGAGTTAGGTTCCAGAAATCTGTTCGTTAGTCGATTTGTACGTGCATCCAACTTTGCTCCTGTCAAATCAAAACATGTTTTACGGCATGTACACTAAACACAGGGAATGGCTTTAAAAGTTACATACATTCCTGTAGATGTAGATGCCACTGCTTCTTCTTCTTGTTCTGCAGATATAGATTCCACTGGTTCTTCACGTTCTGCAGATGTAGATGCCACCACCGTAATCTATTGCGCGGCAGTTGAACTTACGACTCTCGGTCCGAACAGACAACTGGACATACGGACAGGTTTGATCACATCTCTGAAAGTTCGTAAGGCGAATGTTGATAAGTAGAGGAGTCCCTGTATATACATGCAAGCTTTGGTGTCAACAAAATGAGTACCACCTTGTGCAAAGCCAAAGGCGCTTGTTCTACGGATAGACTCACCCCTGTCATAGGTATATTACATTTCTGCAACTGGCTCAGGACAATAAACATGATATTGGTGCCTTCTGTTACGTTTGTAAAAAATTGTTAAGTGATTTGCTTAACCTTTCTTATACTTTGCACTCCGACCGTGTTTTTGTATTCTTTGTTGTTGTAACGTTCTGAACCGCCCCCTTACTGGACATCTGTGATTGGATTCCCCCAGGGTAAATAAATATTCGGTAAAAAATAATAAAAGGAAGTTAAAAAAAACACGTTCTGATTCTGGTGACGTCAAAAGCATTGGCCGCTTTGAACTCGTGACCTTAACTTGTATTTTTGTACCCCTGCCTCTCATCCCCCCCCCCCCCCCCCCCGCATTGCGCCACGCAGCACTACCGGGCGTACGCTGCCATGCCTGACTTCTTCCACAATCGCACCGCTCGGTGGTGGCAGCGCGAGATCGAGGAGTTCTACCGGAACCCAACAACGCCAGCCGACAGCATGGAGTTCGACGGACTGTGGATCGTGCGTTCCCATTAGTTTAAGCACGCTTTCGCTCGGGGCGCTCGGCGAAGGGCACCGAGCTGCGTTATTCTTGCGTTCTTTTTTGCTGCGGCCCCCCCTACCCCACCACATAAGATCGCGGTTTAAACCCCAGCGGTCACCCCAGTCAATAGTGCGGGTGTAAGAACCAAAAATATGCTTCGTAGAGGGTGTCAAAGATTCCATGATGTTATATATGACATCATGGTCTGAATTTGTCATATTTGATTAATTACTGCCAAATGTAATAATTCAGAAAAAAACACATTGCATTTACAGGCCAGTGCTGTATTCACATTGTGCCACATACGGGGACTAGCTGCCATCAGTGAGTCGCATTGGCAAAAAAAAAACTTAAGCCGGAATTTGAATGAGATGTTAAGACATTTGAGTTGCTGAGGCATTGAGCACCCTCTACACACACATCCTTATGCCACAACACTGGAAGAGGGGCAGCTTACATGAAAAAAAATTGCCATGTGCGGTGTATTAATACACAGCTAACATAAGCCAAGACTTCGAATATCCCAGGAACACTTGGACGAACTTTTCAGAACAGCTAACCTCAAAAAGGAGAATGATCCTGGAAAACAAAAACCAAGGACAGGTGGCAACCCTCCACTCCACCTGACACTCATCATTCTCTCTCCGGCTCACAGGACATGAACGAACCGGCGAGCTTTGTCCACGGGTCCACGTCGGGATGTGAAGATACGGAATTGAACGAGCCTCCGTACATGCCACGTGCGTTTGTGTTACCCCACCTCCTGCCTGCACCACACACACGCACCTCGATAGCGAGATGCTAACTACCTAGCCTGGTATGAAGAAGGTCGTGGGTTTGATCCTGCGCCTGACGCCCGCTGTATATTTGGAGTTTGCGTGTTCTCCCCGTGGTCACGTGGATTTTGTCTTCAGGTTTCTCCGGTTTTTCCCTCCCCCTTTAGAAACATGAACTTAGAGTATTTGGCTGCAGTTAATTTCCACGTGATGATAATCCACTTTGTTGAGCTTTCATTTGTGGCCAGATCGCTTCTGAAAAATCAGCTAATAGCTCAGTGTGCTTTACCTGGTAAAATAATGGTATTTTTTTACTTTATTGTCATTTGTTTACCTTTCCTCAGCTTTGTACTTGTATTTATTGTTTTAACATTCTGACCGGCCGCTACTGGACATCTGTGAAAAAACGAGCTAAAAAGCTCAGTGGGCTTTACCTGGTAAAAAATAAATTGTTTAATAGTTTAGTTTATCAACAACAAGGCCAATGGTGCAACCCTATTACCAGCGATGCCTATTTTTCGCGAGACCTGTACTGTTGGCGAACTTCACTTACCCGCGGCCCTATTCATCCAATCATCCGCTGTTAGCCACGAATTTACCCAAAGGTCAACACGGAACGGCATCCAATGACCCACAATTTTTTTTGCAAATAACAGGAGTAGATTAACCCCACGGCTAATACGATAACCCAACATGATCTGCGATATTCCTCCCCCGTATCACAACAGATATTTGTCATTTTTCTAAATATAATTCCAAAGGAGTAATGCCAGTAGTACACTCTCATCGAGCGCCTGACCCATATTTTACAGTTATTTATCTCACTTGCTAATTGTCATGCATCAAGCCCCCTGGATTCACAGCATAGGTATACAACTACAAGGTAGGAAACACAGTATTTGTATTTTTGTCTGCCTTACATTTTCCTGTGGAGTCAACACAGCCATATGTGTGGAGAATTGTATTGTATGTATATTAAACTTATTTCATGCACCGTACGTAGCCAACCGTGCTAATCGGAGGTGCAGGGAAAGACAACGAACTAAAGTACTAAAAGCAGTTCTTAAGAAATTATTTTCAATCTAGATTAAAAAGTACATAACTCCAGTGGCTTCCTAATATCTAGACGGCCGCAGAAGCGCATCTGTAAGCGCGATGTGGTGACCATCTTTGTTTGATGGTACAGCAATAATCAAACATACATTCAGAAGATATTGCACAGAAATTCAGTACAAACAGACGAGACATCGCACGTAAGACGAGGAGAGAATCTTGATTTTTTTTTTGCATGCGGAGATGTGGAAGTGGAGCGGGGATTTTTACGCGATCGTTAGTATTGGTCCGCATTGCCTTAATCGAATTCATATCAGAATCAGAATATGTATTTATCCTGGAGGAATCTGAAGAGCTATGAAGCGCTTTATAGCACACTGTGCGATGGGACCTCCCTGCAACTGCCATTGTCAACCCCCATGTGCAGATCTAACCCAACAGGACGTCTTCTGGGGCCTCCAGCACAAGACCATGTGCATGGAAGCACTGCACGAGCTTCCCGACGGCTCGAAGGTCCAGCACTACAACGTGCACAACCTCTACGGCTGGTCTCAGACCAAGCCCACGCTGGAGTGAGTCCCCCTACACTGCAACTGGCCCAGTAGCCCTGTGGCCCAATGCATTGTACGTGCCATGTTGAACTTCTTTTTCAGCGTACGTAGCCGACCGTGCTAATCGGAGTGTGCGGTGGGTACGGTAGTCGAGGCGAGCGACTGCAAAAGAGGGAATGTGCCCAGGAGGACGTCCACCTGGGTAGATGCAGCGACGTGATCCGCTTTGTGTTTAGGAACTGGATGGGTGTTGCATTGTGAGACCATGAGAGATGATAGTTGCTTGGGGAGGCCTTCATCCAGCAGTCGATGAGTGTTCGTATGTATGTTGAACTTCTTTTGCAGCGTACATTATTGCCAACCGTGCTAATCGGAGATGCGGGGGAAGGAAAGCAAATTGAACACAAAAAGCATTTCTAAACAAATGAGTTTACAATATGAATTTAAAAGTGGATAGCTCCCAGTTGCTTCTTAGTATCGGAAAGAAGAGCGTTACAGACATCCACAGAAGCTCATTTGAAAGCGCGATATGGTAACTATCTTTGTTCAATGGTTAGCCAGAAGCTGCTGCTGCGAGGGTGACGAGAGTTCACGTGTTGATGGTTTATGTTGCTTGATGAGATCAGCAAGGTATTGGGGTTCATTTGTGGTAAACACTCTGTGTGTAATGAGTGCGACCTTAGAATGTATTCGTTGGGCAACCAGAAGCCAATGCAGCTCAGCGAGCACGGAACAGACACGGTGGGATCTCGCGGTACCCGTCAACGACACGTGCCAGATAATTTTCTATACACACCACAGGTTGCTAACGTTTTTTTGCCAGACGTACCACCCGATCGCCTGTGTACATTCCTTTTCCTCGCGTCTCTCCAGCGCCCTGCACAACGTGACGGGCAAGCGTGGAATCGTGGTGACCAGGTCCACCTTCCCTGGCAGCGGGCAATGGTCTGGGCACTGGCTGGGTGACAACTCTGCTCGCTGGGACAACCTTGACAAGTCCATCATTGGTGAGTGCCATCGTAAAAAATAAAAACTGTAACTTATACGACTGCACAGTTTTTTGTTTGCCCACGGTTGTGCTGCTCAGTATTCCCTCGTTATCCGCGAACTTGCTATCACCGATATTTCACTCTCCGTGAATCGCATCTGGAACTCTACACGACTGCGTTGAGAGAAAGTGATGAGATAAAGAGATGAGAGAATGTGATGCGAGAGTGTGATGAGAGAATGTGATTCAATAAAGAGATGAGATAAAGTGATGAGAGATTAAGTGATGTCATAAAATGACTAGATAAATTGATGACGTAAAATAATGACTTAAAGTGGTGAGAGGGAATGTGATGAGATGAAGACATGAGAAAGATATAGAGAGAGGGAACTTCTCGAAGCTTTATAATTATCCGCAGATGTTGTGCGTACGATATTTGTAGGCCGATATCATCATCTCCGGAACGTATCCCTCGCGAATAACGATGGAATTGTGTAACCCTTCCATGTGTGTTTGGGTTTCACCGCTTGTTGTCCTCTATAATGTCCGACATTCTCCACGTTCTGGCAGCTACTTCAGGAACTAAATTCAACCTGAAAGCACATTGCAGAGCTGCACAGTGTCGTTAAAGTCGGGTATGGTGGCACACACCTGTGATCCCACGCTCTGGAGGCAAAGGTTGGTGGTGGGTCACGCAGTTCGGAGAAACTCCCAAACTCACTGATCATTTTTGAGGTGGCCAGAAAATGGTCATGCAGCAAGTACAATGACAAACCCGTGTGTGCCGACCTTCAGGTGTTATTTACACCCAAGCAGAAGTTTATTTAGCCGACTCCAATTTCTTCCCAGTTGCATGAAGACCCAATCCAGGGCCCTTCAGTAAACAAGTCTTGATAATCTGTGAGGCTTTCCTGGACAAATAACGTATGTGTCGTCGTTATTGTGAGCCTGTAACTTCACAGTAGGGTAAATGCCTCCCCCATTTAATTCCGTTCCTTCCTTTCCTGTGTCACAAGTGGCCTGTGAATTCCTAGATTTAAATGTAACCGATTTACTTACCTGTTAAGTTTTTAGCCAAGCCTGGTTTACACTGATGTGTTTCGTATGCTGTCGTTAACGCCTGTCTAATTTTGTGTTTAAGGCATGATGGAGTTCAGCTTGTTTGGCATCACTTACGTAAGTTTGCATTCGTGCTGCGGGGCAATCCTTTTTTAAAAAATTACGGTCGACTGAGCTATTTTTAACGCGAACATTTTTATCACGTGCATTTTAGAATTCGTGATAAGTAACTGCTCTCTGTCATGGGAATGTGGACTGTCCACCACTGGCTACCAACAGCGATGAGGTTCCTCCCCTCAGTGCGCTTTCGGTTCAGTTCGGTCATTAAATGTCCCGGCATCTCACTCGTAGCACAATTTCATCATCTCCAATGAGCATGGTTGGCTACGCACGGTGCGAAAGAGGTTCAACATTGCGTCTCATCTCAACCGTTCTAACGCCTCGCTGGACTGTAACCAAAGGAGAACCCCACCAGTGGCAGCTATCCCTACGTGGCACAAGATGAATGCAGCACCAGGTGGCTAATGGGCATTAGTTTGCCAGTAGGGGGTGATGGTGTGATCTGTGTGCAGGTGTGTGGTGCGGGTTTGACGTGCGTCGTGTCTTTTAATTTTGTCTTGTGATGTGCCGTGTGAGACACTGTCTAAACTTTGTGCTCAGACGGGCGCTGACATCTGTGGCTTCTTTGGGGACTCCAACTACGATCTGTGTGCTCGCTGGATGCAATTGGGGGCCTTCTACCCATACTCTCGCAACCACAATGGCAAGGGGAACATCGTGAGTGCAGGCACCACACATGCACGGTGAATCACAGCTGTGCAAACCAGGGCGACTTTGTACCTTTCTTTTTTTTATAAAACTGTGTTGGCTGGAGTATAATTGTTGACATGGTACCATAACAGATTTTCTCTGGCAAAGCCCTCTTTAACGCCAATATACTATTGATCCTATACAAACTACAATTAGGCCGAAATTGGAACTAAAACAACTCTTAAAGTATTACAATTTTTTTATTTTGCCAGGTAAGGCCCGCTGAACTATTTAGCTCTTTTTCAGAAGCGACCTGGCCACAAATGATCGCACAAAGAAGTGGCTTTTTATTTAGAAAGTTATAGCAGCCAAATACTCTCTCTGGGTTGGAGCACCCAGTTCCTAGTTCAGTATACTTGTTAGAATTCAACGCAAAGTGGTCAGATTGTACATTGAACTTCGTTCGCATTGTACATAGCCAACAGTGCGAATTAGTGGTGTGGGGGGAAGGACAACAAATTTAACACAAAAGCAGTTCTAAAGAAATTTGTTTTAAATTAGATGTAAAAGTCCATAGCTCCGGTTGCTTCCTTATATCGGAGGGAAGAGCGTTTCAGAACCCTGCAGAAGCGCATCTGAACAAGTGCGACGAAGTGACTGTCTTTGTTCGATGGTTAGCCAAATACTGCTGCTGTGAGGATGACTGGAGTTTGCGTGATGGTTTATTGATTCAATATCCTGTACTCACTGATCGTGGAGGCTTCGGTCCGAGCGAATTTAGTCTTCTAGGGGTTTCCTGGGTATTTCACCTTCCTCAGATGACAGCCAAAGGAGGTCGGAATGCCCACACATTTTTGATCCATATGTCATACAAAATACGCATCTATGTCAAAAGTAATACTTCCGGGGACATTCTCACATTGGAAAGCATTTCGGAATTCCACGCGTGTGCTCGATTATTACTTATCTTTGTTCCTTCCTTGTTTCAAATTCTTCTTCAGCGGCAAGACCCCGTGGCCTGGGACACAGAGTTTGCCGATATGTCCAAGAGAGTGCTGGAGATCCGTTACACGCTGCTTCCATACCTCTACACGCTCATGCACGAGGCCCACGCCCAGGGCTCCACCGTCGTGCGACCCCTCCTTCACGAGTGAGATTCACGTTGATGCACTCACAACAACAACAATAATAATGACAGTTGAGTGCATTTCATATTCGCTCCATTTTTATAGCTGAAGGCTATTATGGAGGCACTTTTTTCACGTACACGAGTCTGCAGCAGTGTCACGGTAGAGAGGGGGCGATGTTGGGAGCCATTTGCGGATAATTTTCTAATTTTGAATTTTCATACCACGACACCAGCACGCAACATTGCCCACTCTTTTCGAATGCCGTCTCGGGATACTTAACGTCCATCGTGCGACAGACGACACGTACATTACTGTTACTATACTGGCGGTAATAACCAGGGCCGCCTGCCACGTTCGAACTGCGAACCTCTCGCAACAAGTGGCAAACGTGCTACCGCTGGTCCATGCCAGGGCATTATTAGTATTAACATCATCAGCGTTGACATTAATTATTTTGCAAGTTAGCTAACACCTCGGTTAAAACTCATCACTGCCTTCTTTTTTTGTACGGCTGCTGATGTAGATGCAGAGCTAACAACTACAATTTCACGTTCAGGTAGTGAAGCCCAGATAACTGCGTCAGGAGAAGCAGAGTAGTGTATCGCTATTTCTTATAAACCACTAAAGCTCATACCGTAGTGAATCATTTTTTTCAAGTGAATGTATCAACGGGGGCGCTGTCTCACACTGCATACGGCTCAGCTGCCACTGATGACATCACTAACTCGAAGTTTTCCGTTGTGCTTTCATTTTTGATGTGCAGGTTTCTCAGTGACAGTGAAACCTGGGAAATTTCCAGGCAGTTCCTTTGGGGTCCAGCACTTCTCATAACACCTGTGCTGGAGGAGGTATGTATCGTCACCAAATCAATCACGTCTACACGATGAACACAAACATAACCCTCCAAGGGAAACGTTTCAGTTAACATTTTTTCAGAGATAGTAGTTTAGGATTTTCAGACCAATTTTTGGGGGTATTTTCAAATTTAAATATTGGAAATTTTAAAATAATTGTCATTGTTTGCGTGTTTTAATTTTGACATAACGTTCCAACAGTAAACCATCGTTTTAATGCACACATTTTCACGTTTATTTATAATTCAAACAAAAGTGATCGTCAAAATTTTGACATGCGATGGAATCTTTGGCAGCAAAAAGCACAGGTACGACATCATGGAAGAAACGCCACTGCCTATGATGTTACATTTTAGGATCGTCACAAATTTACATATTTTTTTCACTTAGGGTCACAATATTGTGCCTACGACATTTTAAAAAAGAATTTCAAGGTCGGAAACTCGGCCCCACAAACTACATTATTCCACAACCCTACAATGTTAGTGGCACTCACAAATAGCACTTTTTAATTGTAAATTATCATCAATATATTTGTTATTGTCTCACATAAGCGTCTGCTACAAAAAGGCACGAATTTTTTAGTTTTTTGGTTATTTACATCCACGTGTTATTTTAAAATTGCTGAAGTGCTACTTCAGCAGTTTTTTCTTGTTGTGGTTGTCCCACCTGATAACGATTGCTTGTGTTGCGATCGAAACGTCGTGATCTATTATTTTTCTACCTACGTGACTTTACCGAAAGAACCAAAGAGTGTGGATTCCTGCAGTCACGAAATCTTCAAATCAAGATCAAACCCTATGTATTTATTAACATTATAATGTTTTAACGATTGAGAACCAAAGGGGTGCAGACTGCAGTAAAGGTTGAGAACCACTGGTTTAAAGCAACGTGGACCGATGATCGGGCTCATCGCTGACGGTCTGACCCAGGTGCGGAGTTGTAGCGCTGAGCCAAGGAATTGGGGAGAAATAAGTAAACCCGTAAAAACAAAGTTTTTCACTCTAAATCCTTTATATGCGTGGCGGCTTGAGTCCTCTCGTCCTCTGGCTTGAGATGGCTGCCACCTATGGGTCAGATGATTGTCTGCAGTATTAAACAATTGGTAATTAAATATAATATTTTTGTCTTATAAAGTGTAAAATTTTGGAAAAAAAATTTCACGAACATTAATTGTCTCGCACAACGAGTCTGTGTGCAAAATGTCAGCTCGATTGGATTACGAGAAGTGGGTTAAAAAACGACCGAAAGATTTGCACGGTCGTAAGCAAGCAAGCAAGCACGCAAGCAAGCGAACTTAATGTAAAGGATTTAAAAACATCTAATTTCTGCAGTTTGTTTGCCATCGTTTCCATCTACGACGAGATTTCACTTCAGAATGTCCCGCAGAGAGCGGTGCACCACCCTGTGTCGCAGTGACTTCGGATGATCACGCCACAAAATCCTGGTCCGCACTTCGGGGCACGCCTGTTATCTGTCACACTGCCGGTCACATAAATGTATTGTATTACTTGAGCCCGAATTAAGTAAGCATTAACTTAAAACCTACATATTATTTGGGTCTTTCGGTAAAGTCACGTAGGTAGGTTCATAGAAAATTACAAAAAAATTACGACGTTTCGATCGCAACACAAGCGGTCGTCAACATTTAAAACGTACATTCAATGTGGTAGTTTATGGTACAGTTCTTGGTGACCATACTTGTTCATCATGAGTGGACTACTCATTGTTGCCATATGCCACCTATGGTGAAAAGGTATTTTTCAAATGCTTTTGGTGTGAATTGGCAGCCTTATTTCCGCAAAGAGTCCACGTTTTGTGACCCACAGAGATTTTCCACTGTTCAAGAATATATTTTCCCGTTGATGCAAAATAGCACGACTGCGTTTACCCTGCATGTGCCACTGTGCTGTGGTTTCACAGGCAAAGGTGACTGTGAGAGGCTACGTGCCCGACGCTCGTTGGTACGACTATCACACGGTGAGCCACGCATCATGCGTCGTTCGTCCGTTCTGAACTGCGCCTGATCTCTTGCATGTGTAGTGGTTCACACGAGGGAGGCAGAGACTTCTTTGGAGACAACAAGTTTATTGAAACATTAAACCCTAACCACGAAGGGGTATGCCTGCCCCTTCACTAGCTACCCTCGGGAGGTATCTCCTCCGGGCTGGCTATGCCTAGCTCACGCGGGCTGGCTATGCCTAGCTCACACGGGCTGGCTATGCCTAGCTCACACGGGCTGGCTATCTCGGGCCGGACCCTGGCTCGGGTCCGGGTCCCGTAGTTGGGCAGGTCTTCTCTGGGTGACGGCTTCTGGCTTCGGTATTGCAACAGCTGCTGGATCCGTTCGGGGGTCCGGCTTTTATCCCCAATCCCGGGGCTCCTCCGACCCGAGCCACGCCTCCCTTCTCGAGCCTTCGAAAAGGACCTGGTCCTGGTCCCGTGGTCCCCCAGCCCCCTCTTTGGGGGCCTCCAGGCTGGGACCTCTGGTCACCAGGCCCTCCGGGTTCATCCGGAGTGCCATGGCCCCCTGTCACCCCTGCGCCGCCCCAGGCGCTCTCGCCTTCTCGCCCTCAGGGGCTGACACTGCACACGGAGTGCAATGCCCTACAGCTGCCGTGCTGTATAGGTGGTGTGAGCAGCGCGTCTTGTGCTTGACATACAGGCCGGTTCCACGTAACATGCAGTTTCATCCCTCGATGCCATTACACATGTGTTCCTCCGCCTTCACTGAGACCACTCGACTTTAGAACTCTCTCCTATCATGTTTTTTAATGATTATGATGATGCTCATTATTGCGTCTGCAATGAGGTGAGAGTTGGCGAAGTGGCACCTGTGGTCAGAGCACTTGACTTGCAACAAAAATGGTTCAAATCTGAGTTGAAGTCCAATTAGTCCATCATTCCTTCAGGGCTTAAAAAAAGTTTCAGAAATAGAGATGGAATATCCTATGGGCAGTCCTGGTCCCCTCCATAGAAATATGGAATTCCCACCACTGACTTATAACCACCATGATAATGATCACTGCCCTGCACTCATTCAATTGTGGAGAGGCCGATGAATTGAACTTCATAAGAAAGATTGGCACTGCTTGGCCTATACGTACTTGTCCAATGTGAGCTATAATGTGGTGTAGTCTACTGGCAGACTACAACCATTTGCAAGGTAATGTGTCTGCATACTTTGTTGCAGTGTGTAAAAAAATATGCCACTTGAGGGTTTCTCTTGGACAGAATCCCGAAAGCAGTGAAAATGGTTGAGAGGTGATGTGAGGCGCTTTGAGATGAACCCGAATAATGCAAATCCTTATCCTGTTCCCTCGATCTCATTGCATATGAAGGGTGTCCCACTGACCGAGCGTAAGCAGTACAAAGAGATGAATGCTTCCTGGGACATGATTAACCTGCACGTGCGGGGAGGCTATATCCTTCCAACGCAGCAGCCGGCCAACACAACCAAGTACAGGTACGTTGGATCGCATCGTGCGCACGTGTGCACAGACGCTTACTTTCCCACGTAAGCAAGCCCAAAGGTCTCCTGATAGGCCTTACATACTCCTGGAGGAAGTATTGTTGATGAACACCTAGTAAGGCTGGCACCGACATAAGGGAGCGGTGTAGGTGGCACCACGCTCAGCCAAATGTCTCCTCGTGAATGATGTTCACACCGACTTATTTAAAAAAAAAATACTACCAGGTAAGGTCCCACTGAGCTATATAGATATTTTTCAGAAGCGACCTGGCCAAAAATTATAGCTCAACGAAGTGGCTTATCATCATGTGGACATTTATAGCAGCCAAATACTCTAAACGCACGTTGATTCTGAATGTGGAGGGGGAAAACGGAAGATCCGGAAAATAATCCAAGTGACCACGGCGAGAACATGCAAACTCCAAATATACAGCAGGCGTCAAGGTCGGGATCGAACCCACGACCTCCTGCATACCAGGCGAGGGAGTTAACACCTCGCCACCGTGGTGCCCCACTAATTGCACACACTGTATTTAGTGCTGAATTGACCTCAATTTAGCATTGTGCTAAATACTCAATATCTGCTACTCTACAAAGACATATAGTAGATCCCTTAATATAGCTTACATATAATGTCGTGAGCATGTGCTGTAAGAGAGCATCTATTAAGGCCAACATGGCGCATGAGGTCCTGGTGCGGCCAGCACCGTGCCTGGCCAGCCTTTGTTTCTCCCAGTACAGGTGATATTTAAGGCTGAGTCAGCCCAGGGAAGTCCCAAGACCGATAGTGGATATCATGCACCACGATTGTAAGCGGCATACTCAGGGCACCTAATTCGTAGTGCTCACCCCGATACCACCACCTCCCACACGGATTCCTCCAGTATAAATAAATATTCAGATTCTGACATCTGTGAAAAAGCGTTTCATAGCTCATCGGATTCCTCCGGGATTAATAAAGATGCTGATTGATTCCGTGTTGGGTGTTCATTTCTTTGCCGTGATGTGGATTGCAGTCGCCAGAAGCCCATGTCACTGATTGTGGCACCGGATGACTCGGGGATTGCCACGGGGTCTCTCTTCTGGGACGATGGTGACAGCATCGGTAAGCTGTTTTTTTTTTCCAAGAGTTGGCAAGTTATGGTCGTATGTATGTTGAACTTATTTCGCACCGTACGGAGCCAACCGTGCTAATCGGAGGTGCGGGGGAAGGACGACAAACTAAACACAGAAAGCAGTTCCAAAAAATATACTTTGCAATCTAGATTTAAAAGTGCATAGCTCCAGTGGCTTCCTAATATCGGAGGAGCGTTCCAGACGGCCGCAGAAGCGCATCTGAGAGTGTGCGATGCGGTGTCCGTCTATATTCGATGGTTCTCCAAAAAAACGCTGCTGCGAGGATGACCTGAGTTTGCGTGGTGGTTTATGCTCCTTTGTGAGATCAGCAAGATATTGTGGTTTGTGGCAAGCACTTTGTATGTAATGAGCGCAACCTTATAACATATTCCGTCAGCAACCAGATGCCAATGCAGCTTAGCGAGCACCGGACGGACATGGTCGGATCTTGCAGTACCCATCACGACACGTGCCAAAGAATGTTGTACACGCTGCAGCTTACTCATGTTTTTGCCAGACGTCCAATAGAGTAGTGAATGTTCGGGTGTGTTATGGTCGTTGGGGTTTTTTTGCGTGAAAAAACAGCGGTCATAAATTGTTTACCATTTTCCCACATACATAGAAATGCCTGGCAGTAAACATAAGTTTACCTTTCGATTTAAAGCTTTCGTGACTGTAGGGATTCATCTTCTTGGTTCTTTCGGTAAGTCACGTAGAAGGGAAAAAATATCTGCATTTGCCAATAAATATGCTAAATTCATCTGTTGATATGAAAATTCCTTTGTCAAGGCGCCCTTCCCCCCCTAACCCAGCTTAAATATAAGCTGCCAAGCTTGGTGGTGTTCATTCAGACGCTATCTTTCTGACAGACCTGTACTTCACCTGAGGACGGCTGCTTGCGTTGTGACCAAAACGTCGTGAGAATTGTATTTGATTATGTTTTATTTGTATTATTTTATTATTTCCCTTCATCGTGACTTACCGAAAGAACCAAGAAGATAAGTTTACCTTTTTAACTAAATAACTAAGGGAGCTGCCCATGGTGCAATTGGTCAGCGCACAGGATTTTCAACCCAAAGGTCACCGGTTTCGATTCCATGTCCCGATGCAGCAACTTAAAAAAATACGCTTTGGTGAAGGCAGGAAGCATAGACAGGGGCATATAAGTGTAATAAAGGTCGTTGAGGCGACTTCTGGAATCCGGTCTTTTAATCAACTTGCATTACAGCTTTCCTTTACGCTGCTGACAGGCAGCGTGAGAGGGATAAATAGAGAGAGACGCACTGCCACGTGGCAACCCGGAGCCCCGCTCACACGTGCCCCCTTCCTCCATTCGTTCCCGTTCTGACCACGTGTCGTTCGTCTCCACCCCTATTTAATACCCGGGTCACGTGGTACGTTTCCACCAATCCTGGTTAGCCTCCATGGAATATTCCAGGCTCCCTCGTAGGCTCCCAGGACCACTCCCCTGACTCGTCTCCCCATTGGCTGTGGCCAAAGCCAGCAGAACCAATCCTCTACTTACAGCTGTCATCTTTCCATTACGTCAGGGCCACGCCCCTAGGCTTCCCCCCATTGGCTATAAACCAGGACCGGCAGAGCCAATCATCATGACGAGTTGTGATACGTCAGTGAACCGGATATATCCTCACATTACATAAGTAATGTAAAACGATGGGGTTTGCTGCCCTCTGCTGCTACTCATAATTACAAAGGCAAGAATTTGCGTCAATCCGTAAAATATAACGTTTTGGCCCATCAGCATATCAAAATCATAATATTATTCATACTGGAGGAATCCGATGAGCTATGAAGCTCTTTTTCACGAGTGTCCAGTAGGGCTGGTCAGAACGTTACAACAACAAACAATACAAAAAAACACAACAGGAGTGCAAAGTATAGGAAAAGTAAACAAATTACTTAAAAATAGATATATAAATAAAACTATGGGTCTTGTGGAACAATGTTTTCCAGCAGGAAATTATTAAAGCAAACAACCACTTTATTTTTTGTCGTCAGCAGCGTGGCCTATTTAACAAATGCCGCTGGCTTGCTGATGTTGTAGGTAAAAGCTCTCCACCAAAGACGCAGTGCAGCAACTTTGTACAAAGTATACGATACAAACATTGATGTGTTTTGCCCCGTGAACTGTTCTTTTGTATCTTGACTTAAAGCTTTCGTGACTGCCGGAATTCATATTCTTTGGGTGTTTCGGTAAAGTCACGTAGATAGGGGGGTTAGCCTTTAGAAGCAAACGCCCTTCCCCTGGTGACGACCGCTTGTGTTGCGATCGAAACGTCGTAGTTTTTTGTTATTTTCTTGGAACCTATCTACGTGACTTTACCGAAAGACCCAAATAATATGTTCTTTTGTATTGTAATTTAAATACACACGTAGGTGTTCAAGATGTATAAAGCAATATTATATATTAAGTACCATTCTTAGGGAGGATAGCAGCATTGCAGTATAGTACAATAATTTTTTCTGTTTTTGTTTTTCAACAGATACATTTGAAGCACAGAAATACTTTTTGACTGCGTTCCAAGTCACTAAGGTGAGTGGGTTGTGTGGTATAATTATGATATGCCTTAACCTTAAAGAACTCATATTTTTCTCTGACTGCCTTGCATGGGTAACAAAGACAGCAAATAACTTTGTTTCCCATCTGCCTCGTGAAAACGACAGACGACAATGAGCAATTCTGCAGACGAGATACAATAAGGATGAAAAATCATGCACATACACGGATTCTGCAATGCTTACCAACTCGTGTTTCTCCTTGGACACATTTCAATGTTCTTAATTCATGTTTATTACCTGCTGTGGCATGGATCAGAGCCGTGGACATTGCTGAAGACAATATAAAGTGTCCAAAGAATCCAAAGTGTGTTCAAAGAAGCACAGACTCGTCCTTTGCAATTGCATCGAGAGACAATGGATTCGAGAACTTAATCAGCCTAATGGCATCATTCAGACTGTTTTGAAAAGTAATAAACGGGGGCTTAGGCAGGACAGGTCTCGGGAAGGCAAATTAATTACATTAACACTCTTACTTTATTCATAATCAACGTTTTTGGGTTTAGATCGCGTTATTTATAAATGTGTCGTAACCCTCCACCACCCGACACGGCCAATCAGTAAAAATGTGTCACGTTGACAAAGACAAATAGTTCACTGCTTTAGCCCACCGGTGTGTTGAAGCCACAACATTTACAATTTGAGTACTGTTGTGGCTTCAACACACCGGTGGGCTAAAGCAGCGAACTATTTGTCTTTGTCAACGTGACACATTTTTACTGATTGGCCGTGTCGGGTGGTGGAGGGTTACGACACATTTATAAATAACGCGATCTAAACCCAAAAACGTTGATTATGAATAACATTGGTCGCGAAAGCCTACGTGTTAAACTGACTCTTACTTTAGCCACAGAACGGCTTAAGCATTGAGTGATTAATAATGCCGGGGAAGTTTAATGGGTGCTCACGTGTGTCTGGCAGGCCATTGATTGGCTTAGTGCAGGGGTCGGCAACCAAAATAACAAGAAGAGCCATTTCTTTCCAATTCGGTACAAAATTCAGTATTTCAAGAGCCGCAATGCATCTGAGTACATACGTACATATCGTCAAGAAGCAGCCCGTAAAGAGCCGCATGCGGCTCCGGAGCCGTAGGTTGCCGACCCCTGGCTTAGTGGGAGTGACGACTGCATTCCGAGAAACAGCTCTGACGTGAGAATTTTAATCTCACGACAACTTTTCCTTTTACCTCGACTTTCGGCATTTACGATCCTGCTACGATCATAGCCTGCCAGATTCACAAAAGTAAAGATAGAAGGAGCATTTTCTGTTCTCTGGATGATATATTGCCACCTTAAACTAAGAGTTCTACCCCCAGGAAACTAATTTGTATAGCTCACTTAAAAAAAAAATGTTGTATTGTACCAGATAAGGCTCACTGAACTATAGTTATTTTTCAGAAGGGACCTGGCCACAAGTTATAGCTCAACGAAGTGGCTTATCATGTGGAAATTTATAGCAACCAAACACTATAAGTGTACGTCGATTCTAAATGTGGAGGGGAAAACCGGAGGACCCTGAGAAAAATCCACGCAAGCGTGGCAAGAACATGAAAACTCCAAATATAAAACAGGCGTCAGGGTCGGGATCGAGCCCGTGACCTCATGTGCACCAGACAACGTAGTTAACATCTCCCAACCGCAGCACCCCACTTTGCCAGGAGGACCAGCAGGTGGTGATGCGACTGGGTCAACCCATTAACGGCGTCTCTCACACAGGCCCAACGTTGTCATTGTTTTTTTTTACATTGGAGAACATCTCCAAAATCAGAGATTACTTCTTGGCAGAGCATAAAGTTAACCGTTTGCAAGTGAGACCACATGGGGACAAGACCAGAGACCTGAGACCCCCCCAGCAACGCTCCAGGAACGGTCTGAAATTTTCAGAAATGCCCGTGGGAAATCAACATCTGCATCTGCTGTTTTTGTCTCAATTTCTCTGTCTGTCAGCCTCACATTTTCTTTATCTGTCGGTTTTTTTACATTATTTCCTCATCTCTCTTCTCAACTTACCTCTTTCTGAGATTATCTACTTACGCGTCTCTTGCACTTGTGTCTCTCTGCCATGCTCCATGTGTATATGTTGCCTTACCTATGTATTGTCTTTATAGATTGTTTTCGTATCTGTATCTTACAGAGTGTGTCTGTATCTGTTTGTGTCTGTCCATCTCACTTTGTCTCTTGACGTGTCTCGCTGTTTGTTTCTCTCTCCCCGTGCTTCTATCTTCACCTGGTTGTCTTGTTTTTTCCAAGCATCTATCCATCTCCCTGTCCTCTCCATGTCTGTCATACTGTCGAAAAACTCACTCCAGATCTACCCCCTAATTATTTTCCCCACCACCCATGCCTCTTAATTGTCACACACACGATTTGCTTTTCTTTGGCTATCACAATGCTTCACAATGTTGCTGACCATGTATTGTACTTGATGTGGTGGTGCGGTGTGAACAGACTGGCGCTGTGAGCACCCTGCGTAAAACGCTTGCACACAACAACGCAGAAAGCGATGCAGCCGGGCTCGTGCTGGAGTCGGTGAAAGTCCTGGGTATCGCGACGGGCACAATCACATCTGCTAAGCTGGATATTAATAGCAGTGGCATATTCAGGGATGTAACCATCAGTCAAGTCTCAGGAACACAAGTAAGTCTTCTGTATTCACACACATTTTAATGCTCCCAGTCACGAATGATCACATTTCCGTCTGTACCGCAGTCCAAAGGTGAGGTCGTATATGTGACGTTGTATTGTGGCCATTATTGATGCTATTAATATCTTTCGGTAAAGTCACGTAGATGAAAAAAATATATAATAATAATATTAAATAAATTAAAATAACTAAATTAAATCACGACGTTTCGGAGGCAACACAAGCTTCCGTCATCAGGTGGTACAGCCACAGCAAAATTACTGATGACGGAAGCTTGTGTTGCCTCCGAAACGTCGTGATTTAATTGAGGGTTTTTTTTCATCTATGTGACTTTACCGAAAGAACCAAAGAGTATGAATCCTTGCAGTCACGAAAACTTCAAATCTAGAACTATAAGGGAGTGTTAATGACAAAATTTGGTACTTTTGTTAGTATCTGTGCTTGTACACTGCTGGCAGTGCGATCTTCTATTTGTTCGTGTCATTTTGTTTCTGTTTTTAGATCCTTATCATTGAGTTACAAGGCGAAAATGTAATGTTGACATCACCCTTCACCATCACTTGGGAGTAACCTACAACGCAAACGCTGAAATATTTCCACCATCTGTGACCCTCAAGACCTGCCCTTATCGAAGTTCTGCTGTTGGCTAGTGTTACTGTAAGAGATGGTACAATCCGCTTCACAAAATTACACCCTTCATTCCTTCATATGCAGAACATACCAACTGGTGTATTCAACTTAAAACAGGGGTTGGGGAGCCGACAGTCACGTGCGTCCCATACAGACCAACAACTTCAGTTCATACGACCAGGAGCCACACGGGGTGCACAACCTCAAAACAGCCTGCAAACTACACTACCAGCGTCTTAGCAGCACCAATCTGGCGCTAGAAGTGGATATTTTTCAACCTGCCGTCACTGTGCTTCTGATATCTGTGTGCAGTCAATGCACACAGGCCTCGAGTAATTAAGGTTGAGTGTCAACGGCATTTTTAAATCCTTTATATTAAGTTCGCTTGCTTGCGTGCTTGCTTGCTTGCGTGCTTGCGTGCTTGCGTGCTTGCTTGCTTGCTTACGACCGTGTAAATCTTTCGGTCGTTTTTTAACCCACTTCCCATGATCCAATCGAGTTGACATTTTCCACACAGACTCGTTGTGCGTGACAATTAATGTTAGTGAAATTTTTTTTCCAAAATTTTACACTGTTTAGGGAAAACAAATTAAATATTTAATTACCAATTGTTTAATACTGCAGACAATCATCTGACCCATAGGTGGCAGCCATCTCAAGCCAGAGGACGAGAGGACTCTAGCCGCCACGCATATAAAGGATTTAGAGTGAAAAACTTTGTTTTTACGGGTTATACTTGTTAAGTCCTATTTAGCACTCCGTACGGATACCCAACCCCTGACGAAAGGCATGACTCTGGATAAGGTTGATTGACGGGTGTTGAATCCATGCTTGGTCAAGTTTCAGGTTAAGGAACCCGCAGAATGGCAAAATGCATTAGCCACGTATATTAATTTGGCTACCTCAGCAGACGCTTCTAAATTGGAGGGAATATGGTTCGTGTGAGATTTTTGTTTCTATCTCTGCAATTGTCAATTTTAATCACCAGTGATGGGTGTTAATTCAGCTTCAAACCAGTGAGGATGGATAAAAAAACACATTAGTCAAAAACCCCGTGTTAAAAGAAAAAATATTTAAAAGGCGACATTTTCAGGAAGGACCCTGTTTCACAGCAAGTAAACAAACGCAGAAGACCCCTTGCCCGAAACGTTGCCAATTATAATTTGTTTCCCTTTTAAGGCCGGTGCCGTTGACGAATGCGAGTGGATTTTTTTGTTGTTCTGTGCCTACGCGCCACTGCCAAAGCAGCATCACCACACACGTCCGTTGAATTGTAAGAAAATGTTTAATAAACGAATACAAAGTATACATTTAAATATGAATAACATCGTTTTGGTGGGGAGGAGAGCTCCCCGCCTTCTCATTATCCTCTTCTAGTTCTCGTTGTGTGATTGCTCCATTATCGACTGTAACTTAGCAACCTCTCAGTAATTTACTTGATGGGTTTTTTTCGTGTAATTACCACTTAATTGTTGATTGTGCATTTTATTCATTTTCCGGTAAGAGCTTTTATATTTGTTGTCATCCGCTGCAGAAGAACAAGCGTAACGCCGATGTCTGTACGCAACCGTCGTCTCTCGTTTAAAACTTGCTTGTAGATTATCTGGAGCTCCTAACACCGAGCGAAATTGCGTGCAAATGTAACAATTTCATGTGATCAATAATAAATTACTGTCTATTTTAACATGAGCACTGTGTAACATCACGTTAACATCAGTAAATATACAGCAAGTACGGCATCAATAGGTTCATGCACAGATTATATTCATGACTAATAATTTGCTTCTGAAGATATATACTTTATCTCGCTAGAATGTGGAGAATGGTCACGTAAGCAAGGTCCGCTGTGCACACTTGTATCTTTCAATATTCCAGCTTTTTATAGTGCTTTTACCAGATTCTGGCCTCAGAATGTGCAACACACAAGTTTCCCTTCATAAGCAGACGCGTTATGCATTTTAATACTACACACACCAATCTATAAATGCTCGCCATTTACGCTTTAATACACACTTGTGTTTTATAGCACTCCGATGCTGTGATTCGGGTTGTAACACATGCTGATTAGCATGATGTCCGACGTTTCGCTCCATATGCTGAACAAGATACCAACACGCGTTGAAGATGCTCTCAGCACGTGGACACTTTTCATCGGATATCATTCCACGTGGCGCCTATCTGAAAACACAGGGCTCACTGGACTCACAATGTGGACTTCTGACAAGTTTGATAAAACTTTGAACAGAGACTGAGGTCCCTTGACTTGAGTCCAACATGCTTCAGACGTACATGTTGGCCCTGTAATTATTGGCGCTTAGCTCTGAAGGCTGCCTCTTGTACGTCCTTGGCAGCATCGGAGATGCGTGTGGATTTGACAGAGCAATCCTGAGAGGGTCCGGAAGAGTCGAGAGTTAGTCAGTTTGTTTGTCCTTTATTACACTTCGCAAAAAACTAGAGAATATTATTTAGTTCCACTCTCGCAACTTTCCGGCGCGTATCTTGGTTGTGTTCGTCAAATATTCTTCAAATGTACTTCAGGAAGTATAACTAGACGAACATTTTTATTATTATATTTTACCAGGTAAGGCCCACTGAGATATAGAGCTCTTTTTCAGAAGTGACCTGGCCACAAATAAAAGGTCAACATAGTGGCTCATCATCATGTGGAAATTATAGCAGCAAAATACTAGAAATGCATGTGTCTAAATGTGGAGGGGAAAAACCGGAGGGCCGAGAGACTAATCCACACAACCACGGGGAGTAACACGCAGACTCCAAATATACAGGCGTCAGGATCGGGATCGAACCCACGGCCTCCTGTGTACCAGGCGAGGTAGTTCAAATCTCACCACCATGGCTGTATACTACAGGTGTACCTCTAACATGGGAGGCAAAACGTCACCAAAGAGACGGGAGCAGCGCTCGCCACTGCTATCCCAAAAGAGCAGCTTTTAGCACATTTCTCATTCATCGAGCCGTGAAAACCAACTACATCAATACGTTGATTCAGATATTCAATCGGTTCCTCGCGCAATGCGCCGACCACTACACTACTTCAAAGTCAAAGATCCCCGGTATTGCCTTAACAAATTGTGGGGGTAAGTGCTGTTAGCGAGCACCAATGAAGACTGGTACAGCACACGAAGGGGGTAGGTGGCCAGCACCACGCCGGACCGCCTTTGTCTCCTTCGTGGCGATGTCTACACACTCATTTGAGGCTGAGTCGACCTAGGGAAGGCCCAGGACCAGTTCAAATAATCGTCACTGGTGTTGGCCGTGAGCGGGCATCTAACTCGGGTCACCGGATTGGGAACACGGCACGAAAAAAACGGTTGCACTACCACTACAAAGACGCACACACCTGGGCTGCCTGTATGATCGCCCAACACCTGAACAGACGATGATGGTCCCTCCGGTCAGTGTGAGCAAGGCGCTCGCCCATCCAATAAATAAGGCAGTGCCAAGTTCGTACCTGCAAGGAGATGACAGACAAATATACATATGTCTATAGCAAGTCAGTCGAAATTAAAATAATAAGATTCATGTATGTTGGCTTGCAACTGCAATGATGATGGGCTGAGTTGATCCCTGACTGGGATTTGAATCCTACACCTTATTTCCATTACAATACTTATTTACCCAGGAATACTTCAGAGTCGCATGACATTTCCTGGAGGGTTCTGCCTAATTATCACAGTAGGGGGGTGAATATTCTTGGGTTTTTTCAGGTAAAGTCACGTAGGTAAAAAATTAAAATTAATAAAAGTAAAATTAAAAAATTTAAAAAATCACGACGTTTCGGAGGCAACACAAGCTTCCGAAACGTCGTGATTTTAATTTTTTTCTATTTTACTTTTATTAATTTTAATTTTTTACCTACGTGACTTTACCGAAAAAATCCAAGAATATGAATCCTTGCAGTCACGAAAGCTTCAAATCTAAAATAAGTAGGGGGGTGATTGAGAGTTGAGCACTGCCGGCAGTAAATCCCAAATTAATAAAATGCTCTTTCTCACCTTGCTTACTAAACAAAATGTTGGAGGTCAATCGGAGCACTGAACTGGCAGTCGTGTATGATTAAACCGGCTTCTCAAGTGTTGGGAGTTGAAGGGTTTAGCCCTGTCAACCAATAACTGCACAAATAAACTCATTACATAAATTCTAGTTCTTTGGGTCTTTCGGTAAAGCCACTTAGATAGAAAAATTATAATAAAAAATATCACGACGTTTCGATCGCAACACAAGCAATAATCAGGTGAAAAAAAGATAGCGGCAGAACTGCTGAGGCAGGAAAAAATATAGCGGGTGAGTTGCTGAGGCAGGATGTTATGAAGGGTTTAGATGGGTGTAGCCCAAGGGTCATAAGCGAGGTGGGTGGGGTTAGAGATGAAATTTGCATGTAAATGTAAGATCCGAGATCTGGGCTACCTCCTGTGGAGGTGGCCATTGTATTGTGAGAGATTAGCATGTCAATGTAAGAAAAAACGAGAGCCACCACCACATCGAGGAAAACGAGCAACGGTGGCTGTGTTAGTGAGACATTTAGCCTGTATGGATACATTTCAACACCGAGAACTAAAAAACAAAACCATAAGTTTAAGTGTCATGTGACGAACTCTAACGTGGGGGTTGCACTGCTCGGCAAGAGATCTGAGTGAAGTCTCCATCCCATTGAATGACACCGAGAGCATAGTTGTGAAAATATGGGGTAAAAATTTAACCCGTAAAAACAAAGTTTTTCACTATAAATCCTTTATATGCGTGTTCAATGGGCCACAACCCAGCCCACATTGGTCTTTGAAACGGGCGGCTAGAGTCCTCTCGTCCTCTGGCTTGAGATGGCTGCCACCTATGGGTCAGATTATTGCCTGCCACCATTAAGCAATTGGTAATGAAATATAATTTTTTGTTTTCCTAAAAAGTGTAAAATTTTGGAGAAAAAAAATTCACGAAAATAAATTGTCACGCACAACGAGTCTGTGTGCAAAATGTCAGCTCGATTGGATCACGGGAAGTGGGTTAGAAAACGACCGAAAGATTTGCACGGTCGTAAGCACGCAAGCAAGCAAGTGAACTTAATATAAAGGATTTAAAAAGACCAAAACGTCATTTGCATACAGGTAGTCCCCGACTTACAATATTTCGATCTTACGATGGCGATAGCGATATGACAAAATTGTAAAATATTTTAGATTTCGCTGCGGCAGGCAAACGCAGCAGCGTACGAGGTACGATACTGTACGTTGGGACGCTGCCGGGATGTACTGTACGCATATAGTTTATACAGTACGGTATTGTAAATTGCTCTGCTTTGCTAAATTATCACCATTCTTTAAGACTCCTGGGTAGGCTAGGCCATTTTTGACTTACGATATTTTCAACTTACGATGGGGTCGTCGTAATGCATCTCCATCGTAAGTCGGGGACTACCTGTATTAATTTCGTTCATTCAAGGCCTGATAATTATACACGTTGTTTAATTCGCCATGTGAAGAGCACTCTCTGCTTTCCATGTGTACGTGGCAGAGCCGGCCCAGCTACCAAGCGACCCTTGCAATTGCAAAGGGCCCCGTGGCCAGCAGAGGGCCCCCTAGAGTCACTGCTAGCTAGTGGGTGAAAAAAATCATACATCAAAGGGGCCTCCAACCAAATTTTGCTTAGGGCCCCCAAAGGTCTAGGGCCGGTTCTGGTACGTGGGCTGCTCGTGAAAACGACGCCTATTTGAAGTGACTTCAGAAATAGTTCTGCGATATCAACTTCCGGGGCTGGGGGCAAATTGTCCCAAATGCAAGGTGAGCAAAGACATGTCGATCCGTCAAGGGGCGCACGAGGACTCACTTTGCCCCGATGATGGTGGGATCGTAGTACTCGACTGTGACGCGGTACGCATACCACGACACAGCGCTCACAATCAGCAGGCCTGGGGCAGTGTAGAGACAGGCAGCAGCAACAAAGCAGCAGCAGCTATAAGCAGGACCAGAGTGACAGCTGCCAAGAAACTAGTTCTCAAAGGGCCCTCCCATTTTGAAGAAGCAGCCAATGCCTAAAAGTTACGTACGTATATATATATTTCAGAATGAGAATAATTGTTTATTCCTGGCGGAATCCGATGAGCTATGAAGCTCCTTTTCACAAATTTCCAGCACTAATATGTAATAACTATTACCGGAGTGTGTTAGTCCCAGTAGCCTTCGGGACTTTCCTGAACGAGAGTTTTTCCCAGCACTATTTGTTTTTAACGGGAAAAATCTGAACCAGTTACCACATTCCGAGTCCTCATTCAATAATTTTGAATGTTATTCAGAGACAGTATCTAACTTAATTTGGTTTACAATTAATTCGAATCATTCCCTTACCATTATTTAGTTGCATCCTTGTCATTTATTGTACCACGAACCACCGGCCTTTGTTCGCTATGACATTCATGCCTCAACCAAACTCAATGACTCGTACCGCATTCGCTGTTTCCTCTCATCCATCCTCTATTTAACTACCTGCTTTGCATTGGTCGTTTTGCAAATCTCTCTCATCGTCTGTGTTGTAAAGTTCCAGTCTATGCATGTATGATGAACTTATTTCCCACAGTACGTAGCCAACCGTGCTTATCGGAGGTGCGGGGGTAGGACAACAAACTAAATACAAGACGCAGTTATAAAGAAATTAGTTTTCAATTTAGATGTGTTA